CAGCTGCAGAGTAGAATCCCACCTGAGGACCTCAGGCTGCATCAGGACTTAAATAAGATAATAGCCTCAGCTCAATCGACAGCTATTGCCACCCTCAAGTCAGCCAAAATTTCTTCCAGAGCCATGGCCTCATCTGTAACAGCACGTAGACTCATCTGGCTAAGAAACTGGCAGATGGATGCCAGAAACAAATGGAAGCTGGCGTTTGCTCCCTTCAAGGGAGAGAGGCTTTTTGGGAAGGCCCTGGATCCCTTTTTTGATGGAAACCAGGGACAAGCAAAAGATCCTGCCCTCCCAGGGGAGGCGTTTTGATTACAGGTCTTCACCCTACTACAGAAAGCCCTCCTTTAAACAGGGAGAAGCTGGGGCAAGCTTTCCCCGTCAAAGTAGGCCCTTCTTCCAAAGATCCTCATCATCAGGCCAATAGACCGGCCTTTGCCACCAGAGAGCATCAGAGGCAAGATGACAGAAGGTCTTTTTGGGGTTCCAACAGACCTTTTAGATGCAACAAGTGACACCCAAGCCTCCTCTCCCACAGGGGGCTGTCTGGGACTGTTCTGGCAGAGATGGGAACAGATCACGACGGATACTTGGATCCTGACAACTTTATTGTCAGGTCTCTCTCGGGAGTTTTTTTTCCTTCCCCCTCAGTGCCTTTGTGTGCTGCCCCGTGTCAAGGGACCCCTCAAAGAGGGATCTCATGGTATTGGCAATCCACCAGCTGCTGGACGTTCGGGTAATCCAGCTGGTTCCTGGAGACCAGGAAAGACAGGGGCTCTATTCAATTTGGTTTGTGATTCCAAAGGCCTTGGGGTGAGGTGGGGTGGTGAGCAGTCTTCAACTTGAAAGGGCTCAACAGGCATCTAATCTACCAAAGATTCAAGGTGCACTCCCTCTATCCTACAGGGCCTACAGGAGGGAGATATATTTTTTTTAGCTTTCCAAACACCGTCAGTTCCTGAGGTTTTGCTATGGCGGCCACCATTTTCAATACAGGGCTCTCCCGTTCGGCCTGTCATCAGCCCCGTGGACTTTTACCAAGCTCCTGGTGGCTGTAGCGGCATACCTCAGATCCTTACCCATAAAGATCCAATGCTATTTGTACGACATCCTGATAGCATCCTCTTCCAGACCCCAGGCAGAGGAGGATATGATGTTGACAATCAGGATCCTTTGAGAGCATTGGTTCTCGATAAACCTGGACAAATGCCACCTAGTACCATCGAAACGTCTCTTGCATTTGGGGGCTATCATAGACACCTTAACTGGCCAGGTCTTCTCTCACAGGAGCGTTGAGACAGTATAAGGGACGTCACACCACAGATCCTGTCTGCCAGAGAGGTGCCTATCATCTTGCTGTCTCAACTTCTCGGCAAGATGATATTGTGCATTGGGATTGTCCCAGGGCCCGCTTCCATGCCTGAACCCTGCAGTGGTTCCTGCTCCCCGACCAGAAGACGTGAAGGGGCGACTCACCATGGAGGGTTCGCGTCCCCTTTCTGGTTCTTCATTCTCTCCATTGGTGGCAGTTCCGAGCCATGGATCAGGGTTGCTTGTACAGGGAGCCCCAGAGGATTACCATCACCACCAATGCCAGTCTGTATGGTTGGGGGGCCCACCTGGGAGTCCAGGTTAGGTGGTCACAGAAGGAGGTTGCCCACAACATAAATTGGCTAGAGCTCGGGGCTGCCCGCTTAACTATCAAGGATTTGAGGCAGGAGGTGATGGGGAGACAGGTTCTTCTCCTCACAGACAATGTGGCCACCAAAGCCCACATAAACTGGCAGGGGGGCACTCGCTCCAGATCTCTAATTCAGGAGGTGACTCGGTTGTGCAGGTGGACGGGGAGACACCTGTTGTCCCTGCGAGCAGAAAACATCTCGGGAGTTTCCAATGTGCAAGCAGACTGGTTGAGCAGGGCCACAGTCGACAAGTCGGAATGGCGACTGCATCCCAGTCTGTTCCAGGAGATGACGGAATGGTTCAGCCATCCGATTCTGGATCTCTTTGCATCTCCGGAGATCTCTCAGCTCCCGAGGTTCTTTGTACAGTTCCTAGCACCGGGAGCAGAAGGAGTCAACGCTCTCCAGTGCAGGTGGCCCCAAGGGCTATTGTATGCCTTCCCCCCTACCTCTGATTCTGGGAACAATCAGAAAGGTGCTGACAGAGAGGGCGGAGGTTCTGTTGGTAGCCCCTTACTGGCCCAGGTGCGCATGGTTCGCTGACCTGGTGGGCTTGTCAGTAGCCAGACCCTGGAGAATTCCCCTGCACAGTATTTCCCTCAGCCAGGGTCCAATCGAGTACCCAGATCCAGCCTTGTTTCAGTTGACTGTCTGGCGCTTGAGCAGGTGCTCCTGAAACAGGAAAAGTTTTCCAGAAGGGTCATTCAGACCATCCAGGCGGCCAGAAGACCTTCCACGACCAGGATATACAATGCATCGTGGAGGATTTTCTGCGGCTGGTGTGCCAGTCACCTATTGGAATCTACTGCTGTGTCTATGGCAATGTGTTAAAAGAGTTCCTGCAGGACGAGTTGGACAGAGGTCTTGCCCCCAGTACCTTGAAGAGACAGGTGGCTGCCTTGGCCTTGGTTTTTTCGGTCAAGGACTCAACTACTCTGGCCCAACACCCCAGGGTAAAAGCCTTCCTTAGGGGAGCCACTAATTTGAAGCCACCGGTGGTCCACCATTACCCCACCTGGGATTTGCCTAGGGTCCTGCAGGCACTGACTTCTCCCCCATTTGAACCTTTGCGTGAAATCAGTCTTCGCCTACTCATGTGGAAGGTGTTATTTTTAGTCGCCATTATTTCGGCCAGGCGTATCTCGAAGTTGACAGCCTATCCATCAGAAAGGACCTGTGCATGTAAACAGGGTGATTCTGTGGTTGGGCCCTAACTTTCTGCCCAGGGTGAACTCCTTATTCCATCGCTCACAGGAGTTGATTTTGCCAGGGCCTACCCATGCACTTGAGAGAAAATGGCACACCTTGGACGTTAGGAGGGCCCTCCGTATATACATCAGAGGGGCCTCCTCTTTTAGGAGGACTGAAGCCCTTTCCGTTTCCTTTCAGCCGTCAACTTTGGGTCGCAGGATGACACCATCTACTGTGGGTCGCTGGCTTAGAGCCTGTATTGCGAAGGCCTATGAGTTACTGGCTCTTCTTGTGCCCAGGAGAATCACTGCGCACTCAACCAGGAGTGCAGCAACCACTGCAGCCTGGGCAACGCAGGCTTTGGTTTTGGACTTTTGTAGAGCTAAGACTTGGTCATCTGTGACCCCATTCATAAGACATTATAAAATTGACTCCTTTGCCTCAGCAGAGGCATCCTTTGGAAGATGAGTCCTGCAGGGAGTTCCTGTAGAAGGGACCTCCGACCAATCCAGTTCCCTCCTGTAGGACAGCCATCAGCCAACTTTGGTATGTCCCATCCTAGCTTCTCCCTTCGGCTCCCTGAGAAGAAGCATTCAGATAGGACCAACGCCCCTTTCCCCTGGCTTAACACTTCAGTACATGGCAGATCATATCTAGAATTCTTAACTCGTGTCTGGAACAGCTATTTTATCATTAATGATATTCCCTTTTTAATAGCAATGTATGTTTCCCATAAATAATATAGCATAGACAGTACTCTGTCTTCTTTTGAACTCAGGAGTCACTGACTTAGGACAAACATAGTCATTTGTTTAGCCTAAGTAATACATGGTGGTCAGATATTGATCTTAATATAGAGTATAGTGGAAACAGTTTGATTGCATGAAATAGGCCTAGAAAAGGAAAATAGGAATATGAGGTATTTTTTTCTTGCAGGTAAAAATTGAAAAGCAATTAACTAACGTATTACTCTGCCTTTATAACATGAAGCATATTAGAAAATGCTATTTTAATTATAGCTCTATGTATTGTGATTACATTTTTTAAACAGATAGTATTATTGTGACGATTGGATATTAGAGCTGTCCCTCAAAGCATTGCAGAGCACCTTTAATAGTTTACATTTCAGAAAGAAAAGGAAACCAAGGAAAGACAGATTTGAGAGATATTGGTAGGAGAGACCTAAGGAAGCTTGGAATCCTAAAAGTATCTTTCAGAATGATAGATGTATGTGTATACATTTAGTGTCAGGAAAGGGAAGGGTTTACAGTCTTTAGATACTTTTTAATATCAAAACAATTTCCAACAATTTCAGTGTACTTAGTGAAAATTAATTTGATTCCTTGTTTAAGTGTTAAAGTGTGCTTCTGATTTATTCTAGTTTCATATTATATTACTGTGATAACTAAAAGTGGTATGTGACAATATGTACCAGAAATGCTCACATTCTTTTAACTTTTAATGGAAATCTTTAGGTGGAATCCTACTGGCACAAAAAATAATAAACAATTCTAAGTGGGAATTCAGTACTGTTCTGTCAACAGCATTCAGTTGTCTGAAATATTTCTTATAAGTAGTGCTGAAGATACTATATTAGTGTTGTCATATTTGTTAAAATTATTTAGCATTTTCTTGAAAAATCAAATGTTCAAATCATTCTGTGTCACTGACTTGCTCATTTGCTAAAAGTTTGGATTACTGTAAGTTAGTACAGAATCTTGCAAATTATTTTACACAGTTGTATTGATTCTTTGCTATCTAAGGTATTTTTGACAATAGTCATAAAGTATGACACCACATGACTGTTGCTTAGCAATAACAGTTCTGCTTGTCCCTGTTGCTGTCCTTAAGGGAAGACCATATAGGTCATTAAATGAAGACCTCATGTAACTGCAACTTCTAATTTCCTGCTAACTTCCCCCTAGACTTTACTTTTGGGAAGCCAGCAGGGATGTTGAAAATCATATGATTGTGGGGAATTCTGTAACAGCCAGAACTTTGAGGGCCAGTCATGACTCCCCCTGTTCTGTGCCATCATAATTTTGAATGGTTGCTGAATGAATGGATATAACCTGAGGACTATCTGTACTTTGTAAACAGTGGGCACAAATTATTATATATTGACAGGAATAACAAGAGAGACCTTGCAATGATGGAAGTTAGAAAATGGCTTGGTTGGTTACCAAATGGTAGGTACCATTGATTACCTACCAGATGTTTTGCCATTTTAAATACTCAGAATTGTTTATTTTTCTTAATGTGCACTGAAATGAAATGATTTACATAATTTGTCTTGTATATATCCAAGAATTATTAACAGGTTTGAACTTGATATATTTGATGTTTGGATTTTAATATTCTAGTTCTTAGCCTTTCTGTTTTCTGCCATATGAACTTCTATTTATTTAGCCTTATCCTTAAATTGATATTTCACTGCTTTTAATTTTTTGTTCTTATGGTAATGGTTGAGTTGGCACCTCTTTATTTGAATCTCTTTGTCTTAACTCTCAACTGGTAGTTTTCTGAACCAAATGAAACACTGGAAGGCTACATTAAGACCCAGCTATTGGGATGCAGAAGGAGTGAGAAGTAGATTTTAAAGGAGACTCACAATGAATTTGATCACTGGTATCTCTATCATCTAAGCAATATTAACTTTGTGATTTCTGATAAGCAAATGTTATATATTGACTCTAAATTTGTTTACCAACTTTGAAAAGTTTAATGTGAAACATTTGTTTTTTATTTTCAAATTCATATGCCATTTTATCTGTCATATACATTTCCAATAGCCCTTAGATAGAAAGATTTCTCATTTTTATGATGAAACTGGTAATGCACAAAATCCCCATAACTATAGCATATGACAGTAGAACTTATAGATATACTACTACTTCATTTTATGCAGTAAAATAAGTATATTGTTCACCATTGTCTCATTGGTTATACAAATAATTTTTTTTCAAATGGAATAAGCATGAATTGGAGAATTATTGGGAAGCATAGTTATTGAATTCATTGTTGATTTTACCTTTCTGCTTATTTTAGTAAATGGTGACAAATCTGGATTTCTATGTACATAGAATTGTGGGTAGTTATTCACCAGATTTTCAAAAACGGAGGTCAAACATCAAGTTAGGAAAAATGTTGATGCTTTATACTTATTTTTCCAGCAAATTGAAGAATTGGTAAGAATGTTGACACTAATGTAGATAAAGTATAGAAAGAACTATTTTATTAAAATATTAAAAATAAAGTTAAATGTGTTTATATAATCTGTTACTTTGAATATAATCTGTAACATTAGACAAATAACTCATTCCTATTAAAAGCATGCTCAATTTGGTACTTTACGGATGTGGTAGATTATCAGGTTTGTTGTCCAACATATTTGGGGACCATCAGACCGGAGAAAGCAGTTATAAAGCCACATTTTAAAATGTCAGTGCTTTAGATTAGAACTAATAATAATTCACAGTTATAAGAAAATGATGCTATTTAAAGATTGGTTTTAGAGAAGCTGTCAAATAAAGTTTGTTCATGTTAACATACATTGGTTTAATTCTTCTACAGGGGGTGATAGGTGTGCAGCTGGTGGTTACCATGGTGATGACTAGCATTATACAGAAGATCATACCTCACTACTCTCTTGCCCGTTGGCTTCTTTGCAGTGGAAGGTAAGATAAGAAACCAGAACTAAACATCTGATAAAGTGGGTTCTTGTCCATGAAAGCTGATACTGTAGTAAATTTGCTGCGTCTATAAGGTGCCAGTGGATATTTTGCTGGCCTATTCTGTTGTGTACCAAGTTTGTCTCGGAACTGATTATAATTATAATTGGTCTGGATATGTTGGTTCTAAAAATATTCACATTAAATCTTTTCTAGTCTTATCTATAAATATGCGTTATGCTGTAGCTTAGGGTCTTCTTGAGAAATAGGTGGTATATACTTTATTATACTATTACATATGCTGTCCATGGTCTTTTTCTTGACAAGTGCTATGCCCCATTTACAAAAGCAGACACTTTTATCTCACCTTGCTTAATAATATGGCCATGCATTTTGTGCATAATTGTCTCAGTAATTAAAATATGCATCCTGAAAGAGGGAAATCAGATTTGAAATTTAAGAAAAGAGATTTATTTAAAGGCAATAGTCATTAGTGACAATCATGGTACTTGTGACAAATTACTTAATAACTTTAAAATAACATTCACAATCATTAAGCTCCTTGTGCTAAAAACAATTAAGAAAGAAGCACATTTGGGCTATCCCCTGGCTCCCTAAATCCTTTAGAATTATTTGTGAATTTCCATTTGAAAATATTCTATCTTTTGTGATATTCTTGCTAGGAAACCAGAATAATGAGTGATCTTCAGAAGATTAATTCTCTAGTTAGATATTATTTGGCTTTTATAAATGCACTTAAATTTCAGAAGGGATTACTCTAAAAATTATAAAATAAAAAATAAGCTCCATTTCCTGATTAAATAATTAAGTATCAAGGACCCCACAATTTCATATATAGTTATAACAGTTGCTGTTCAGTGTATGCAGCCAGGTGTTCTTTTGGTTGGATTTACTAATAACTGATGATTTGTCTACTCAACCTAAATCTTCTCTGTCTTCATCAAGAGCTTAATTGATGGATGATTCTGAGACATGGAAGGACTGTATAAGCCAGGTGGCTGCATGACAAATAAAAGGGAGTCTAGTACTCATAATTGGCAGCTGCTTGCCAGTGTAGAAATTTGCTCAAATACCTCACTAGAGAGGACAGGTGGAAGGACAAAGTAAGTAGATATGGTAGGGTAGCTTTGGCCTTGCTAAGCATTAAAAAGCAGCCTCCTTATTGGTCCTCTAGAGATTCCTGTGGGTTATTGAACAGCTGGTCATGGACTATTGAGTTTGTCATAATTTATGTACAGAATTATCTAGATAATTATCTGGTGGCATCATTTACTAAAAGTCAAATTTGAACCTTGCCAATCATCTTGTCAAACATACTTTTTTGCTTTTGTTTTTTAATAATTTTAAATTTAGTGTATAAGGCATTGGTTAAAATGCAGTTCAAAGAGTAATTTAGAAAAAAAAGTATATAGCTAGTCCTTGCTTAACCTTAATTGGGACTGGAATTTCCATCACAAAGCGGTGGTCATTAGGCAAAACATCACCAGTTCCAGGAGTTCTGGTTGCAGGTGTTAGACAAGGACCATGCTTCTCTTGTTCTGCTGCATTGTTCACTGCTTCAACTTCCCTTTCAACCTATTTCCTCCCTATCTCTGCTCTTTTGGCTGCCATTAACTCTGTCACTTTCTACTCCTGCTGCCCTTTGCTGTCCTCTTCCTCCTGCTGCTGATGGAAGGGGCAGCAGCTGCTTCGACTGGCGGTGGCTTGTCAGCAATGGGAGGAAGAAGCTGGCAAAGCTTAGCTGGAGGCAGCAGGGGTAGGTGGCAGAGAAGAACAGCACAACCAAAAAAGCATGGCTGGCTGGAGATAAGACAAGTGGGCAGAGTGAAGTGCATGTGCTCATAAATGTGGACAGGCTGCCAAATGTTCAAATTTTCATCATGTGATTGCAGGGGTGTTGCAACTGCAACTGTTAATTTCAAGGACCAGCCGTGACTACCATTCAGCACCACTGCAATTTTGAATGGTTGTTAAACGACAACTACCTACAAGTCAAAGAAGACTGCTAAGGGTTTAGTGTATCTATGTGTTGTATTTTTTCCTGCCTCCGCTGCTGTTTCACATGTCAACATCGTATGAAAGATAATCACGAATGAAAAATACAGTGCTATATTGCAAAACTAGCAGCTATCATAGACAAGTATGGATATAATTAAAACTATTTTAACCTTACTATTTGAATTACAAAGGCTTGTGATATTATATTTTGTTAAATGTCATTCAAATTATTAATTTGGGGGGGGGGGGGTGTTATTTTTTAGTTTGCGGTGGTACCTGCATCCCACAGAAGAAGAATTACGTATTCTTGCAGGAAAACAACAAAAGGGAAAAAGCAAGAAAGATAGGTATGAAAACAGTGTGGGTAACTAATTATATCCCAGTCTTTAAACAGTTGTTGTAGTTGGTTGTTTGATATTCCTTAATGATTACAAAAATATATTTTTAAAACTGATTTTGCATAGAAAGAAATCATATGGGTGTGCATATCTGCTTTTAATACATTGATACCGTATTAAAAATCAAAGGGTCTCAAAATACTTATGAACATTTTTGGGATAAACAAAAATAAGGCAGAGAAAAGGGAGATACATCATCTCTAATATACTTGCCCTTGTCGCTATTATGCATTTTACTGGTTTAAAAGGGTAAGAAAAGACACAGAGTACAATTAGAACTGATTTACCTTGCTGACTCCTTGTTTAATTTAAATATATATACATCACAATTTTTTCTGGGAGCATTTAAAATTAACAGGTATTGCAATAAAAAGAGTAACACTAGAATACAGTCAGGAATTACAACTTCTTTTTAATTCTTTTGTCAATTTAAAAAAACCTGTTATCCAGATGACAAGCCAAAATCTGTATTGTATGACCATCCAAGGTGCAAGATCTAATGTCAGGATGTCTTGTTCTACTGACAATTACTGCAGAAAGACTTCTACATAGATAATTTTAGAATATTAACATAGAAAAGTTCTATTTTCCCACACCAATTATAGTTTAAAAGTTAAAGTAAACACCTCAGATAACCTGTAAGATTCCTTCTACTAGAGCAGGGGTGTCAAACTTGTGTCATCATGGCAGCGTCATGTAATGTATTGGGACTTTTTTCTCCTTTGCTAAACTGAGCGGAAATGTGGCCAGCACGTGACACATCTGCCCCATGGGCTGTGAGTTTGATAGCCCTATGGTAGAGGATTGAAGTCTACCACGTCCATCCACTGGTGAAACTAGTATATTCAAGGCTGACAAAAGTCTCTCTTAAAATTAATTATTTGTATGTTTTATTTAAAATTATTGTATAACAGTAAATGCCACCAAGTCAAACTTGAGTTTTGATCATTATAAAGATGGGGCTGTGCTGTTTTCTTGGCAGTTGTAGTTTAATGGTAAATGCTACTCTTGAGAATGAAGTGTACCACAATTTTAATGTCATATGAATGGTAAATAAAACATATGAATATAAAACATATAAAACATATGAATGGTAAATCAATTAACCTGTTCTATCGCAGAATAAAAGTTAAAATATAAAATATTTATTTATGGGCCTGAAAAATACTGTCTGATATCAAAATATTACACTGATCAAGGCATTCTAAATTTGAAGGACTGCCACTAAAAATAATTTAACCCTCAGGCAGCCATTTCTTACACCTTATTCTGTCACATACTATGCCAAAGTTCTACTTGTACAATAGTGTATTTCATCTGAAAGGTTTATACAAATTGTGCATCAACTTTTTTCTCCATTAAATTATAAAGACTAGACATTAGGTTTTCTAAACGAAAGTTTAGCTGCCAAATGCTCCTGAGGATTTAGTAGATTTTTGAGGACCTAGTTTCATGTATTATGGAACAGTTATAATTGTATTAAAAATAAATTAACAAAGGTAGCAGAAGACATCTGGAGGATGCTTGGTATGCAAGGTGATTTCGGCTATTCTTCAGAAAAATTAGTTAAAGAAAAGTCATTGATAATAAAGCCTGTGTGATTTAAGGAGCATCTTTAGGAGTGTTTGTGTTCTTGGTTCCTAGAATTTTATAATAACTTCAATTATTAAAATTTTCTTGTCTAATTTCATTTCTTGCCACTTAGCAAAAGAGTTTCCAGAATTCTCCACTGAGCCGAAGGGAGAATCCAGGATGGGTAGTCTCTAGTCTCCTAGCTCTGTAGACCGAGTTGAAAAACTGAGGACACACCCCCTGGTAACGGTCCCCAGTTCTTCACTCGGTCTCAGCATGTTCAGACCACCCTTTAAGGGCTCTGAATAGTTAGGATTGTAGAAGAATGTTCACCCCCTGGATTAAGCTTTTTTTCGCAGAAAGGCTTAGATCAGGTTTGACAGCTAGCCGGCTTGCCGGTTTAGCACTTTCATTGATTCGCGCCTTTTTTCCAGTTTGGTTTTTTTTTGCTTATTATTTTATTTTTTTGACTTTTCTTGCTGGTGGACTGGTTTTTTTCTGTTTTGTGTTAAAACTTGGGTGGAGGTGACCCCGAGAGCCCGTGTGGCCCTGGCTGGGGCGGGAGTCGGCATCTTATTTAACTCGCCTTCTCCCGATCCACTTTCCCTTGCCTGGGACGAGCCGCAGCTGCCGCTAAGCGCTTCTGTCCCTTTTCGGCGGCAGAAGCCATTTATTTCGTTTGGGGACAATCTTGCAGTTCGTCTCCAGGATTGTCCATTGGGGGGGGGGGGGTTTCCGGCCATCAGGATTAAATCCTGACCCCCCCATCCAGTCTTCAAAGCACTGTGGCAGCTGCGAGTCTACCTGATAATTGTGGTGCAGCCAGCGCCAGACTCGCAAGCCTCTGACCTGTCAGGGCTTGCTGCAATTCAAAGAGTCAGCTGTTTTTTCAACTTTTTTTCCCTGACTCAGCTTTTGAATTGCGGAGCTGGGCTGAGCTCACCACTTTGGGTCGCACTAGCCTCCTGAAGTGATGGACAGCTACTGTGGCTGTAGCTGACAGCTTAGGCTGAATATTTTTTTTACTTCTTTTTCCCTTTCTCTACCCCTGTCAAGTAACAGTTATTTTTGGTGGGCTCAAAGAAGGCCGCCAGGGGAGCTGATCAAGAATTGTCAGTTACTCAGCAGGGGAGAGAGAAGGCTGTAAAGGGATCTCCTAAGCCCAGGTCTGCCGGTCTGGAGGCAGCAGCTAGGATTAGAGCCAGGGCTCTAGCCCCTAAGAGACCCTCTAGGGCTGAGGATAGACAGGCCAGGCGTAGAAAAAAAAGCCATAGACAAACAGTTTGACAGGGCAGTGAGAGATTCCAGGATGGCTGAATACAGAGCCACCCCTCAAATTTTGCCTCCTCAAGATGACAGGCAGCCAGACCAACTGGCAGATAGGCAGTATATGACTGCCTAGTCTTCTGGGGGCTCAAGTACCCAGGATTTGCAGGGAAACCTCCAAATCAGGGCTGAGACCTCTCACAATTTTTCTGAGCCGCCTCAGGGGATCTTGATGGCGGCACCTGCAGACCAAGTCTCTTTGCATCGCCAGAGAACACGCACCTCCCGAGGTTCTTTGCTCGATTCCCTGCCCGGGGAGCAGAAGGGGTCAACGCTCTCCGGTGGGCCCAGGGACTATTGTATGCCTTCCCGCCCTTCCCCTGATTCTGGAGACAATCAGGAAAGTACTGATAGAAAGGGCAGAAGTTCTGTTAGTAGCCCTTTACTGGCCCAGGAGTCCTTGGTTCGCCGACTGGTGGGCCTGTCAGTCGCCAGACCCTGGAGAATTCCCCTGCACAAGATCTCCCTCAGCCAGGGCCCGATCGAGCACCCAGATCCAGCCTAGTTTGGTTGACCGTCTAGCACTTGAGCGGGGGATCCTGAAATGGGAGAAGTTTTCCACAAAGGTCATTCAGACCATCCAGGCGGCCAGAAGACCTTCCATGACCAGGATATATAACGCAATGTGGAAGATTTTCTGTAGTTGGTGCACTTGGTGCCTTGGCCTCGGTGATTTTGGTCAAGGGCTCTACTACTCTGGCCCAACACCCTAGGGTGAAAGCCTTCCTTAGGGGAACCATGAATTTGAGGCCACCGGTGGTCCACCGCTACCCCACCTGGGATTTGCCTAAGGTCCTGCAGGCACTGACTTCTCCCCCATTTGAACCCTTGCGTAAAGTCTGCCTTTGCCTTCTCATGTGCAAGGTGTCATTCTTGGTGGCCATTACCTCGGCCAGGCGTATTTCAGAGTTGGCGGCCTTATCCATCAGGAAGGATCTGTGCGTATTCCATGCAGACAGGGTGGTTCTGCGGTTGGACCCTAGCTTCTTGCCCAAAGTGAACTCCTTATTCCATCGTTCACAGGAGTTGATTTTGCCTAATTTCTGTCCTGAGCCTACCCATGCACTGGAGAGAAAATGGCACACCTTGGACGTTAGGAGGGCCCTCCGTATTTACATTAAAAGAGCTTCTTTTCTTAGGAGGATGGAAGCCCTGTTTGTTTCCTTTCAGCCGTCAACTTTGGGTCGCAGGGTGACACCTTCCACAGTAGGTCTCTGGCTCAGAGCCTGCATTGCAAAGGCCTATGAGTTACAGAGCCTTCCTGTACCCAGGAGGATCACAGCGCACTCAACCAGAAGTGCAGCGACCACCGCAGCCTGGGCAATGCAGGCATCATTTCTGGACATTTGTAGAGCTGTGACCTGCTCATCGGTGTTCCCATTCATAAAGACATTATAAAATTGACTCCTTTGCCTCAGCGGAGGCATCATTTGGAAGACGAGTCCTGCAGGGTGTGCATGTAGAGGTGGGGACCAATCCAGATCCCACCCGTAGGACAGCCATCAGCCAGCTTTGGTATGTCCCATCCTGGATTCTCCCTTCGACTTAGTGGAGAAGGGGCATTGGTCCTACCTGAACACTTCTTCTCAGGGAGCCGAAAGGAGAATCCAGTCCCACCTTGTATTCTGTCTGGTTGGAGTAGGGAGGAAATGTCCCTTTTTTTCGCAGTATCAACTGAACTATCTGTTTGAGGACAAGGAGCACCTGAATTCACTTCAGCGTTGTTCAGAACTGGGGACCATTACCAGGGGGTGTGTCCTCAGTTTTTCAACTTGGTCTGCAGAGCTAGGAGACTAGAGACTACCCATCCTGGATTCTCCCTTTGGCTCCCCGAGAAGAAGCGTTCAGGTAGGACCAACGCCCCTTTTATTAATGGGTTTGTACATATGAAAAATTCTAGCATAAAAATGGAATGATATGAGGCTCATTAGTTCAACTCAGTTAAATAAACTAAAATTAATTTGCACGTGTGCACATATACCTAACTAGATAAAGCTGAAAACAGTGTCTCTGTTTTCAGGCTTTAGATTCACAGGTCAGTTTTCTTTTCAGCAAATAAATTTGATAGCATTTCTGTCTATTGAATAACATAATATTGAAAGTAGCTTTATTAAAAGCTATGAAATACTCATTGAGTTGTTTGTCATCCTCTTTTTTTTCTCATCTTCATTTATTCTTTTCAAAGGTGAGTGAGAAGAAAAAGGAACAAAGAATATTCTTTTGCATTATTGTACCCTAATTCCAAACTCCTCAACTTTTTCTTATTTTCTTTGATTGCTATATAATTGTATAGGAGCCCAAGAACTCAAGCTCCCAATGATGTATGTTTGTCTCCTGTGGTAGCTTTTTAGAAAAAAATGTTATTAAGTTAGATGGATAGATATGAGTTAGATGTTTTCTGGTCCTTGTTCATTCTCAAGCTGCTTATTTGTTGCTTCATGGGGTTATTAGAGAAAGATTTGAGTTTGATTATATGCATCTGATGTTGCAGTATTTATATTTAGTTTGTTTCTCTCACAATTACAATATATCAGTGAAGAAGATTAGGTTCAAACTCTTCATTCTGAAAATAAAATAAAAATAGGAGTAGAATCTCATTTTCTTAAGTGGTTGAATGGGCTGTGTAATCAACCTTGTCTCAGAGCTACTACTATTGTTAGCAGAAGCTGAACTGAAGATGGTTTGCACCTCATCCCATTATTTTTCTTTATGAAAGGCGGTGTTTGTGTCTCATGCTACTTTTTAAGTAGCAATTTTAGAGCCTTAGTAAGATGCAATGTTGACAGTTTTAATATATGTTTATCTCAACAGGAAGTACAATGGTCACATTGAAAACAAGCCATTAACCATTCCTAAAGACATTAATCTTCATCTGGAAACAAAATCTATCACTGAAATAGACGCATTGGGTAAGGGATTATAATAAATTGAATCATGATAAAATTTTGTGTTCCTGAGCATTTGTTGTTTTTGGAAAATCTTTTTATTCCCATATTTAAAAAAGGACAAATGCTACAGTTTGAGAATCCACATACTAGTATTTTAAGCAGTCATAAAATCTGAAAAATCAGTTAATACGCTTAATTCATCTCCATGTGTTTAACTTTTATTACAAGCTGTCCTTAGCTTCTTTGAACTCTCTATGTAGAGGTAATATTTCAAATGTATATGCCAAGTTTTTCCTTTGAATTTAAAATATTTAATTATTGTACAATAAAAGTTGCTCAATTCTAGCAGATTCTGGAAGGAATAGAAACATGTCAAAATGAATTATATTGATGCATGTAAGTAAATTGTTACTGTTACGCAAAGTAGGTTGTGTGTTTATAGGTTCATTTAGTTGATGAGAATTAAGGATCTTCGTTTGATTTGCACTCTGGAACAAAAATGTTCATCCCATAGAGATGTGAAAGTGGTTACATTTTTCTCATTAAGGAATTTTGAATTGCCACAAAAGGTCAGCTTGTCCATTAACTGGGGAAGATTATTGTGCAAAAGTTTCTTTTAACTATTGGATCCCAGAAAAGACCTCAGAAGGGAGGCAGAACAATTTGGAAGTTTAAAGCAGTGTTTCTCAACTTCAGCAACTTTATGATATATGGGGTTCATCTTTCAGAATTCCCCAGCCAGAAGTCCATGCATTTTAACGGTCCTGAGGTTAAGAAACAGTAGTTTAGAGGGATGTAAATCTGTGTTATTTTTATATTAGAGAAGGATATTACATAATCAATTGTCATAATAAACCACCACCTTCAAGCTATGCATTGGCCTAATAAGCTTTAGTAAATGTTGAAAACAGGCTTTTGAATGTAAACAAAAATAATTTGATGGAATGTGGCTTAATGCAATATTTTGGTTTAAGATAGATCCTTTACACATTTATGTAAGTGATGCTTGAATCTATATCTAAAACTTGATATATTTTTTGAGATCAAATTATCTGATTGTTCCATTTGTAATATTTTTGAAACATCTGGGAATATATGAGTCCATAGGATTTTGGTGTAGAGATAAAGATAAGTAATTTATTATGAGTATATTATGACTATTTATTATGATTATACTGTTCCGTCTTTCTATTTTCCTCATATAAAGTGCTTCGGGGAATGTACAAATAGACCTCATTTAGCAATTGCAGTCATTAAGCAAAGCAGTCACTAAATGATAATCACATGACAAGAACTGTGCTTATGATTTTACTTCATATTTCCTTTGGTTTACAATGCAGAAAGTTAGAACCCAAATAACTGGGTGAAATACTAGAAAAGGTTTCTGAAACCTGTCACAAGGCAACTATATAAAAGGGCAAATTTATAGCCCCCCTTTTCTATGTCCCTGTGCTTTTAAATGCTCATCCCAATACTGGGATAATTAGGAAGAAGAGAATGTTTATATTTACATTTATTGGAGAGAACGGGATTGCAAAAGAATAAGGAGGCACACAATGGGAATATGCGTCAAAAGGAATTTGCTGGTGCAGGCTGTTTGCCTAGTATGCTCTGAGTTAGTTGCTTAGACAAACAAAAGCCTTTAATGTTAAACTGATTAGAGTCTTGTCATTGTCAAGCAGCAGTACTCCTGGAGAGTATTACATTAAAAAGAATATAACAAAAATTATTTAAAAACCCCATGTGCTGTAAGAATCACGCATTCGGGACATTAAAAAGGAGTTCATTTAGCATCCTGGCCCATGTCTGTGAAAAGAACCATGTCTTTAAGACCTTTCTAAAGGCTGTCACAGACAGGTGATCTGAACTTGTTGGGGAACATTATTCCATAGGGCAAGGCATATCTTCTTGGTCCAATATAAGTGCATAATTTATTTGATGGGACCCATCCAAATCCTATCAGTTTTTGTTTGATGGAATTAATAGTTTCACATATGTCCAGGTCTATGCCCTGAAGATGGTTTATAAATATGTGTATGTGTATATTTCAACTACTAAACATCCACTTTTTATTTTAGCCTTGCATTATTTTCCTGAGTACCAGTGGTTGGTGGACTTCACAGTGGCAGCTACAGTGGTGTATTTGATAACTGAAGCTTACTATACTTGGATGAAGCCTTCACAAGAAATGAATATCAGCATAGTCTGGTGTTTTCTTGTTTTAGCTTTTGCAATGTATCCTTTTAAAGTGTTCTGGAACTTCTGTTAAACTTTCAAAAAATGAATATTTTGTGAAGTTCACGGCAGTAATTTTTTGTAAAAATGGTTCATAGGAAATACTTGGTACTTTTTCTCTAATACAACATTCCCCAATATGATATTCTCCAAATACAGTATGGTAGATTACATTTTCCTTAATTTTCCTGCTGTCTAGGAATAGACATGGTACTTGGTATCCATGGTATTTGGAAAATATCATGCACTAATCATCACCAGGCATATTTTAGTTCATACCACAATATTTATGTTAAGGCTGAGAAAAAAGTTTCTACAAATTGAGATTAGTTTATTAGAAGTGAATTAAAGCAGTTCAGACAATAAAATAATGGTAACATTTGTCCTTGATATAAGTTGTATAAAACACTTTATAGCCACCTAGTCTAAAATTATCTAATTTTTTTGATGTTCCTTCAAAATGATTGTGCTTGATTTTAATACCTTATTATTAAAACAATTGTGGAAAGGGTAATTATGTAACGGTATTTTATTATTATACTCTAACCTGAATTCTGTAGCATAGTTTTTTCTTTGAATTTTCCTGCTGTCTTGGAACTGTAATCCATGGTATTTGGAAGATACCAACTTTCATATAAAACTTTGTGTGTGTGTGTGTGTGTGTGTGTGTGTGTGTGTATACGTATACACATACCTACCTACCTATTTGAGACCATTGCCAAGTATCTGAAAAAAGTGACTTATGATTATTGTTCACACTTATGACCAGTGGTGAGATTCAATTTTTTTTTACTACCAGTTCTTTGGGCGTGGCTTGGTGGGTGTGGCGTGGCTTGGTAGGCATGGCTTGGTGGGCATGGCAAGGGAAGGTTCCTGCAAAATCCATTCCCTCCCCACCCCATTAACCTGTTTTCCAGCTCCATTCTCCTGTGCAGGGCACAAAAGAAGACCCAGCCGATCATCTGGGACTCGAGAGGCAGAGTATAGATGGGGGGAAGGCCAGTCAGAAGTGGTATTTGCCGCTTCTCTGAACACTACTAGTTCTCCAGAACTGGTCAGAATACCACCATGGCTACGTGATCAAAATTCAGGTGTTTGGCAACTGACTTATATTTATGAAGATTGCATTGTCCTGGTGTTACACGATCACCTTTTGCAACCTTCTGATAAGAAAGGTCAACCAGGAAGCCAAATTCACTTAGCAACTTAACAATTGCAGTGATTCACTTAATATCTGTGGTATGAAAGGTTCTAAAATGGGGCAAAACTCAAATGTCTCACTTAGCAACATAAATACTGGGCTCAATTATCATTGTAAGTCGAGGACTACCTGTATTGTGATTGTATTGTACAATCCTATCTGCTCACAAATGCTTCTTTTACAATATACATTTCATAACTATGACTTCTGTTTCATGCTGAGCTATATAGGCCACTTCAGATAGAGACACTGATTTTACTGTATAATAGCAAAAGTGAAGTGGCTGATTACTATCTATGAATTACATTGGTATTTTAGACTTTTCTTTTAATTTTCTTTGGATATGGGTTAAAACATGACCCTCTCCCAATTGACTCAAGGTAACACCAAAATACATTTATGTTCTCTCACATGCAGTGTGAGAGAGGTGTTTTTATTGCTTCTCCTTTTGCTTACATACAAATACATACTTGGAATTCTGCTCTAATCTCTAACAAAAGAAAATAAAAAACAAATATATAAGTAAAGTACAAGGAATTTACTTTTATTAGTGTTATAATATCATTGTGCTGCTGATTTCTTAAATATTAAACTTCCCCATAATTGTGTTAACTATAATGCTTTGAGACTAAAAGAATAGGACCAAATCATTATCAGTCAAAGACTCTTCAGGTATTTTACTGTGCCAATATAAATATATCTGCTGTCTTCTTTTGAAGACATTGTGAGAATTAAGTAAAAACAAAATTTGTTTTCATGAATGAATGAACTTTATCTCTAAATTGTAAGAAATACTGTATATTCAATATTTGATAAGCCTCGAGTCTACTGATTTTCTAAGATTTCAATTCCTTGTTTTATAGATCATATACAGTATATTGCCAATACTAGTACATTGATTATTTTTGGGTAAAATTAAATTTGTTAGTTTAGCCTCAAATAAAGCATCTATTAAATATCTAAATGCTACTATTAAATACTCAGGTCTATTTGAACTGCTAAAGCTTTCAGACCATAATTTTCTATCAATACAAGCTTTAATTCCTCATACATTAGAAAGGTTATATTCAAAAAATAACTACGCAAAATCCTTCAAACACCTGTTGCTCAAAGCTTCTGGTAGATAGATTAGATTAGATTCAACTTTATTGTCATTCCCATGGATACAGGCAACGAAATGCAGTTAGCATCCAACCAGAAGTGCAAAACAACAGTAAAATATAAATATATGTGTGCAAATATGCAAGGCATCTATGAATATGTCAGTGGAAAACACAACAAAATGTATGTACACGAGCACACAAGGATAAGTGTGACTGCACATATATGAACATATACAACTGTACAAAATGTTTATGGACACATTGAATATAAGTACAAATGCACAGAGAATTATACAAAATACATCATATATTATTAAGGGAAGCATCAGCATATGTGTGGAGACAAACGAACTGAGGAGTTCAGCAAGGAAACCGCTGTGTGGTAAAAGCTGTTCCCTAGCCTGCTGGTCTTATACTGCAGGCACCTGAACCTCCTCCCAGATGGAAGAAGAGTAAACAGTTTGTGGGCTGGATGGAAGGGGTCCTTAACGATGCTGTGGGCTTTACGCAGGCATTGTTTCCTCTGAATGTCCACAGTGGCAGGAAGTGGAATCCCTATAATGCGTTGGGCGGTTTTCACCACCCTCTGTAATGCCTTTTTTTCTTTTATAGTGCAATTTCCATACCAAACTGAGATACAGCGAGTTAAGATGCTCTCAATTGTGCAGCAGTAGAAATTAGTCAGAATAGCTGAGGAGAGGTGATTCTTCCACAGATAGTATATTGCATGGGACATGTATGTTTCCAGTCCTCATAATAGCAACTCTTAGACCAATGTTTCTCATTTTTTTTGCCTGTGATCCCCCTTCTAAGCTGCTTTTTATTGTGTGTCCCATTCGAGGCCCCATTACTAGATATGGACTATCTTGTTTTCTGGCATTAGAAAGACAGTATTTGCAGTATAAAATTCTTTTTTTGTGTGTTTTTCATCTCTGACATGTTTTTCATCTCTGGCCTTTGAAATAATCTAAATAGTCAAGGGGCCATATGACCGCAATTTGAGAACCATCATCTTACCCTTCTGTGATTGTCTTCTTTCAGGAAACTACTACACCTCCTCTATTCTTTAGAGAACTGCTGTCTTTATACTTAGTATCATTTTTTCTTCCTCTGAATGTTCATGACCCATTTCTTCTGCAAAAGTTGTGGCAACTAGTTCTCAATTTCTATAATCCATATCCTGTTTCTGTTTACCTCTTAGGCATTGCATTGCATTTGTTAATGTAGGTTCCTTATGGAAACTTGTCTTCTATGTCAGCTCTGGCTAACAGCAGATTATTCAGTGGTTGTCTTAAAATATGCAGCAAAAAGAAGAGAGATAGGGCTTGATTTTACTTTAGTGTGTGTTTTTATAGCTGATACATTCAGGAGGGATCACCAGTGTTACTTTTGATTGCTTACTCAATTCTGACTATAAATAAAACAAAATGCTCTAGTCTGAAACTCTTCCTAGATTGAAGAAGCCCCAATCCACAAAGCATGTAGGTATTTTTTATGAATCTGAATTCAGTCTTAGTGTATTACAATAAAAATATATTATCAGTTTTGATGTCATACAGTTTTTTGTTGGAACTAGTTGAACAATTACTTTATATTTTAAAAGCTATAATTTCATAATATCCATACAACAGTAATTTCTAAATTTCTTATTTGTTTAAAAGGGTCAAGGGTTTCTTCATGCTATAATTTAAAACTTTTAAAAATCTTTTTAAAAGGACCATACTATGATTAATAAAAGTAAAATAGACCATTATGTCTCATTTATACATTCAGCCCCCTGATATTGTTAAATACTGTAGTTTCTAATAATCTAATCTCTAATCTAATCTAATAAACTATTCTTAATAAGCTAATAGAGCTGCTTAATTTTCCTTTAACCAATATTGCTTAAGTTTGAAAATATACAATTATTCAAAAACATATAGTTGCTGAGTTTCTAATGTTTCCATTAAACCTGAAGGGCCTAATTATAATTCTTAAATGAAAGAAGTTAGTTATATTATCTTACAGTACATTTTTAATAGTTTTTACTGAAGTTTAAAAATACAAAGTTAAAACTAATGCAAACAAGAGAAATATACAAAAGAAAAAGAGGGGAGAGAAAATATGTAAAATAGGAAAACAAAAAAAACAAAAAGAAATTCCTTCATTAAGACAGGTACATTTTCAGTTATATTTTAATAGTTCAATTACAAATCTCTAATCCATATCTCATTTCTTATCTTTTATTTATTAAAAGTCCATTAAGAAATACAAAAAATAATTATATATTAAGTTTAAACAAAACAGTGTAATATTTTTCCTTGCTTACATAGTACCTTGTCATTTTTTATAAAAATATAAAGGAAAAAACGTGTTCTTTGTTTCTATCTGTAAAAAAATCTATCAAAACCTCATCAAACTTAAGGGAAAAAATCATTAGCGCCATTAGAAGTAACATTTAAAATTTTAGTCTTTAATCTATCAAATCAATTCTTCTCTTCATCTCTTCTCAATTTCAATAGTATAGCTTGTTATTTTTTCTAAAAAATGCAACATAATTTGCTTTATTCTCATATTTTACCTAAAATAATAGCCTCATTGTTCAGTTCTAATCCAGGAAAAAAACATTAAAACTGCTAGTAAAGAAAAGAATCATATATATCTTAATCTTGGTTGAATAAGAACCACAGTGGTGCAGTGGTTAGAATGCAGTACCGTAGGCTACTTCTGCTGATCACCAGCTGCCAGCAGTTTGGCAGTTCGGGTTTCACCAGGCTCAAGGTTGACTCAGCCTTCCATCCTTCTGAGGTCGGTAAAATGAGGACCCAGATTGTTGGGGCAATATGCTGACTCTGTAAATCTCTTGGGGCTGTAAAGCTCTGAAGCGGTATATAAGTGTTACTGCTATTGCTATAAGCCAACTTTGTAAACCTTAATTTTACTTTCAAAAGTCTGAATGCAACAGCATACTAAAAAGCAGAGACATCTCCCTGCCAACAGAAGTGCATATAGTCAAGGCTAGGGTTTTCCCCATTGCAATTTATGGCTGTGAAAGTTGGACCAAAAGGAAGGCTGAGTGCCAAAGAATTGAGACCTTTGAACTATGGTCCTGGGGAAGGCTCCTGCGAGTCCCTTGGACTGCAAAGCAATCAAACCGGTCAGTCCTACAGGAGATCAACCCCGATTGCTCTTTAGAAGGCCAGATCCTGAAGATGAAACTCAAAATATTTTGGCCACCTAATGAGAAGGAAGGACTTACTGGAGAAGAGCCTAATGCTGGGAACGATTAAGAGAAAAAGAACGGGGTGACAGAATGAGGTGGCTGGATGGAATCACTGAATAGAACAGAACAGAATAGAATAGAATAGAAATCTTTATTGGCCAAGTGTGATTGGACACACAAGGAATGTCTTGGTGCAAATGCTTTCAGTGTACATAAAAGAAAAGATACATTCGTCAAGAGTCATCAGGTACAACACTTAATAATAGTATAGGGTACAATAAGCAATCAAATCATACTAGGAAACAGTCAATATAAATTGTAAAGATACAGCGACAAAGTTACACTCATACAGTCACAAGTGGGAGGGGAGGGGTGATAAAGAGTGCTAAGAAGATTAATAGTAATAGTAGTTCAGACTTTATAAATAGTTGAATAGTGTTTAGGGAATTATTTGTTTAGCAGAGTGATGGCATTCGGGAAAAATCTTGTGTCTAGTTCTAGTGTGCAGTGCTCTATAGTGTTGTTTTGAGGGTAGTAGTTGAAACAGTTTATATCCCGGATGTGAGGGGTCTGTAAATATTTTCAAAGCCCTCTTTTTGACTCGTGCAGTATACAGGTCATCGATTGAAGGCAGGTTGGTAGTAATTGTTTTTGTCTGCATCCTAATTACTCTCTGAAGTCTGTGTTTGTCTTGTTGGATTGCAGAACCAAACCAGACAGTTATAGAGGTGCAGATGATAGACTCAATAATTCCTCTATAGAACTGTATCAGCAGCTCCTTGGACAGTTTGAGCTTTCTGAGTTGGTGCAGAAAGAACATTCTTTCTTGTGCTTTTTTGATGATGTTTTTGATGTTAGGTGTCCATCTTAGGTTTTGTGATATGATAGAACATAGAAATTTGAAGATCTCTACTGTTGATACTGTGTTGACTAGTATTGTAAGAGGTAGTAGTATGGGAAGGTTTCTCCTAAAGTCTACCACCATTTCTACGGTTTTGAGTGTGTTCAGTTCCAGTTTGTTCCGGTTACACCACGAGGCAACCTCCTGTCTATGCAGATTCGTTGTCTCGAATGAGACCAATCACTGTTGTATCATCTGCAAACTTCAGTATTTTAACAGATGGATCATTTGAGATGAAGTCATAGGTATATGGGGAGAAGAAAAGTGGAGAAAGCACACAACCATGTGGGGGGGTGGGGTGGCTGTGCTAATTGTACAGTTATCAGATATGATCCTGTCTAGCTTCACCTGCTGCTTTCTGTCTGTTAGGAAGCAGTCGGTGTGAGCTTAAATGGACTCCGGGGGATGGTAGAGGACAGGAAAACCTGAAGGAACGTCCATGGAGTCACAATGGGTTGGACATGACTGCGACTAACAACAACAATGATTATTCTTTTTAGACCATATCCCCAAAATCAATCTCTTCTTTCTCCTTGTCTTTTCACAGGAATTTCTTCTTAACACATCTCTGTTGTGAATCCAAAATAAGAAAATTGTCCAAGTCACTTTCCTGAGCTAAAATCCACATGTCCAAAAAACACTTCTAGTTTATTATTTATGTGTCCCTTTTAACTACTAAAACATCCACCTTTTTCATCTGTAAGTTCTGTAAAATGTCTACCAATATATTTCTTGTAGCCTATCCATTTTAAATCCATATCCAAAACAGTCTAATTTTATGTCCCAAAAGACAACTGGGCTTTCTTTGTTTCTTTGAACATTTTTCACTTCTAATCCAAAAGACTTCTTCAGTTTGGGACAACCATGATCTGGATGATTGAGAATCTCCACAGACATTCATTCTGATTTTCAGTTATATCCTCTTCTATCTCTTTTAAGCACATTTTTATTGTATTAGATAGTCTAAAGAGAAGTTTCTGGCTACATAGTTAGCAAATATCCTTGACTTCTTCTAGAGTTAAAATACTTTTTCTCCATTCTGTATTAATGAATCTGCCTAGGTTAACCAGCCTAAAAGGTCTCCTTTTGTCATCTTTTCCTCTCATTTAGCATATTTTTCCAAGGCAAAAATTTCTTACAGTTAAGCTTAAAATCTGTATATATTTTAATAAGATTTTAGCAAACCACAGGAAGTATTTCAAATTCTTATTTACAATTTGGCCTCTAGACTATTTAAAACTAAAATCAACATTTTAATCTTTGCTGCTTCTTCCCAAATAATTTTTTTCTTTAGGTTTTACATTTACTTAAAGCTTTTTTTCACTACAAAGTGAAGGGAAATTATCCAGTATAATGAAACTTGTTATTCTGAAAGATCTTAATATAAAAAAAGCAATTTACAAGCCATTTCTACTGAAGAAGATCAAGAGAGGAAGGGGACAAATCCAACACTTCTTGAAGGCTCCAAACTGTGGCTCGAGCAAAGCTGTCTCTTCCAAATCCCAGAGCTCTAAAACCCACCAGAGACCAAAATCTCATCACAGGGAACATCTTTAAGGAACACTCTCAGTGATCCCAAGTCCTTTCCTTTATCCAGAGAGTAGTTCATGACTTTACTTTCTCCCATGTTTGTTGTTGGCGCGGCTAAAAGCAAATTCACTTTCAATCTGCCGTTGCCTTAACAGAAGTTCCTCTTATGGTACATTTTTAACATATTAGGGCTTAAGGGTTTTTCCCCCCAGAAGAATTCATGTTCCACATAATAGCTGGTTTCTGAAGACATGCACATGATACTATTCCTTCTTCCCAATGCTATTCCCCAAGAATGCAGTCTTTTTTTCTCCACAGCATCCAATTTTTAAAATTTTGACGAATGGAAAACAAGTTCCAATCTTCTTTGGATATAAAATGGATTTGATTTTAGTGAGGTTTTCTTTTAAGCCTAGTGTACATGCCAAGACAGTTTATTGGTTTTTTAAAATGTTGCAATGATTTATTACAACCTGTTTGTATACAGTCCAGAATATCTTAGATAACATTAATTTATGACAATGTCTATAATTTTCCCTATAGGCCTACCTCTCCAATGTTAGTATTTGGTTTCAAAGATCTTTATTTAGAATTATATGAAAAAAAAATTCCTTGACATTTATATATAGCAAAATATTGTTCTCATTAACTACACACTACTTTAAAGTTGAAGAGGGAGGAGAAAGATCAGTCTGTGTAACATTTGGCTTCTTTTTCTTTGTCAAAGCTATGGTAATTCTGATTGTAACGGAAAACTATTTGGAGTTTGGACTTGAATCAGGTAATATTTTTATGTTAATATGGACAAATACTTAGCAATTTTAACAGTAAATATTTTATAGGTAATATCATTTTTAAAAATGCCAATATTTTTTGTTTTCAAATCTTCTATTTCATAATTTTTTTCCATTACTATTACAGGCATGAAATATTTTAATGCAAAATATAAATATTCTTATGTTAAGAGTTCACAACTATTAAATTCAATTAGACTATATTCTTTTGTAATAATGGTGCTATTTTATAATAATAATGTGTTGCACTTTCAAAAAGCATTTTGATTTTACTCATAACAAATGATGTTCTAGATTATGCCTAGCTGAATTAATATTTCTGCTTAACTATTTAAAACTATTCTAGTTTTTCCTCATTAGCAACCTAATATTTTAAGGTTACTGTCTACATTCTCTACAGGTTTCTCCAATTTTTCAGAAAGTGCAGTGCAATTTTTTGAAAAACAAGGGTTGGAATCCCAGTAAGTATAAAACGTAATATTAAAGTTGAAAATATATTATCATCAAAATATTCTCCTTGTAACATTTTTCAAGATTATGGATCCTTTAATTCAGAATCACGTCTGCAATATCTGAAAGTATGTCAAAAACTTACATTCTGTTCAGGAAAATAATTTTGGTTGCTTCTATCTTAAATGCAGAAATCCTGTCATTGTTTGCTTACATGGAAACATAAACATATGTATTTTTATATAAAATAATAATGACATGTATAATGCAAACAAACAATTTCAATTATTGGGCAAATTAGAAATATCATAAATTAAATTATTATTAATTGGGTGTTCAGCTAAATATCACAGTATAGAATAGAAGATCTATCAGTTACTCCTGCCTTCCCCCCCACCCTTTACTTTTCTATTATGTGGCCCATTTTATTTTATTCCCTCTCAAATTCTGCCAGTATTTTGTGCCTGCTAAGAATGCTCGGTTATGATTCAGTTTCTGATCCAATCTTTTAAGGCTTCTGGTTCTTGGTCTTTGACACATTAATATGTTCTTGTGTTAGATAAGCACCAGTACTCCACAACTTTTTTAGTTGATAGCAAAAGTATCCTGTATCCATGCTTGCTTATTCTAGCACAGAACACAATTAGAAGGACTTTTGTATTTGAATTTGTCAATAAAAACTCCTGATTATTTTCATCAGAAGATATGTAAGATACATAATGGGGAAGAATCTGATGGGAAGCCCTTACCCCTGTCTCTTTTCAGTGTAAGATCTAAAATAGTTTTATTTGAGTCTATGTCTGTCTGTCTATCCAATCTACCTATCCTCCACCCATTCCATCCATCTTATATTATCTATCTATCTATCTATCTATCTATATCTATCATCTGTCTAATATATATAGCCACTCATCTTGCAGAACAAGCAACTGGATGGCTTACAAGTTAAAGCAAGAAATATCATCAGAATATTAACAATTAAAATAGAAAAACTGACCTAAAATAAAAAGTAGGCAGAAAGATGTTACCACTTCACTAAGTCACTTGTCCCCTGGGATCCCCAAGACTTACCACAACTAAATCTTAAGGGACTTATTAGAGGACCAGAAGAGATGTGGCCAACTTCACCGTAGAGGGGAGAATATTCCACAAAGCGGGTGCCACTGCAGAAAAACCTGCTGTCTAGGGCCACTAAATGTAGGCAATTGAACTTATGCATACTTTTTCTGCTGGACCTGGTGAGGTGGGCAGGTAAAATGAGGCAGAGGTAGTCTGCCTTAGTCCCATGCCATGAATGGATTTAAAGTTGAACACCAACATCTTGAGCATAAGTAGAAGCCTCTACATGATTGCAGGATCAATTTGTTGCCAAGAAGAAAATTCTGTTAGATTCAGGTGAAATTTAGGACGCAGGAGACAGACACATAGCTTGTTAGATGGGAGCCAGTATTTAAAGACTGTGCAAATATGGCCTTTTGCTACTTTGTAACAATAAGTTGGTGTAATATTTCCAATTTTCAATTATATAAGTTTTTTGTTTATTTTGCTTCACTTTCAGTCACCTGCATTGTTAGTAGAAAAAAACACTTTTAAAATGTTAGAGAAGCTAATTATCATTTTTTCTCTTTTAGGGGTCCTGTTTCTAAGCTAACCTTCAAATTTTTCCTGGCTATCCTCTGTTCACTTATTGGAGCTTTTTTGACGTTCCCTGGTTTGAGGCTAGCTCAGATGCATCTTGATGCTTTGAGTTTAACAACCAAAAAAATCACCCAGTAAGTTAAAAGTGTATAGATTTCAACTTAAAGTGTATTCTCCACTCTCAGTAGTATTATTCTTATAACATGGCTTTGTTTTATTCCAAATTTCAGAATGTGTTTCTAAAATGAATTTAAAATCTTATTAAAATGCAGTTAAAAATTCATGAACAATTTTAAAAGAAAACACACTAATGGATTAAGAGAGTATGGAATAAAATAGGACTATGTTTGGATACCTAAAATGTTGAGGACTAAACTGATGAGTTCCATCCAGATACTCATTTGTTCACCCCTCTGCATTTTAGTTATCTGAATACAGTGCTATTTTTTCTCCTCTCCTATTATCCATTAGTGTGTTATCTTTGATTAATCTGATCTTGGGGAAAAATGATATTTCAAAGGGTAAGTGCCATGGCAGAAACTGTTGTTCTGCCTTATCCAGATGATACTCCTTAAAGGATGGGACCCTTAATGTACCATTCCCACCAAACCTGATAGGATGGGTAGATGTAACCTAGGTTAGTCCCTCAAATAATGTGCCATGTAGGCTTTAAATGTCATTACCAACATCTTAAATTCACTTGAATTTTGGACTTCGATGTGGTCATAAGTTGAGGACTATATATGTAATCATTCACAGCATCCTTGTTCAAAGGGGCAAGCTTCCAAACTTTCCTGCAGTTGTATATATTAGGGAATATTTGGTAATGGCAAACAAATTAGGCTTAGGGAGTTAATTTGTATTATTCATTTTACACAAGACAACTTGATAAGCTTACAAGGAATTCTAAGGTATTCTCAAGCTCTTTAGAAACCATTAAAAAAATCAACATAGAATATAGCAGAAATCAGTAAGACTAGTATTTATTTCTCTTGCTTTCAATATAGAATAGTTTAGAAATACCCCTTTTCTGTAATAATACAATGTGTTTATCTTGCTTTCTGTCTCTTCCAGAACTCTGCTTCATATAAACTTCCTGGCACCTCTGCTTATGGTGTTGTTATGGGTAAAGCCAATTACCAAGGATTATATTACGAACCCACCATTAGGAAAAGAAAATGTGCCTTTGTAAGCTGCTTTGGAAATCTTTATTTTTAAACCTAGTAATAAGTGTATGTTTAATATGTAATATTTTTGTAGTTATATTCTTATTTTTAAAAATTAGAATAGAATAACCTTAGTTTTTAGGACAAATGTTTTCAATCTTTCTGAAGGAAAGCAAAGGACTCCTCTTCTCTATTTTTATCTCTATCCATTCAGCCCTTCCTGGAGGCACAAGCAGTTCTCCTTTCTTTGATTTCTTTTGATACATCCACATTTCTCTCCTCTCATTTATGCTTTCTCACAGGAACACGTTCCCATCTGCCATTTCCATCTTCTCCCCAGTATTACTACAACAGTGCTTCCATGTGTGCTTGTGTGAGGTATGGGGTGTGTGGAAAGATATTTAGAAAATTTCTGTGTTCATTCTTTAATCTACAGAATGTCAGAAGCTACATTTGATACTCTAAGATTGTGGATTATAATTCTCCTATGTGCTTTGAGGTTAGCCATGATGCGCAGCCATCTCCAAGCCTATCTGAATTTAGCACAGAAATGTGTGGATCAAATGAAAAAAGAAGTTGGAAGAATAAGTACTGTTGAATTGCAGAAAATGGTAAGCCTAAGGTTACAATAATCAAAATATATATTAACAAGCCATTTAAGTTTTAATTAATCAGCATGATGCTATTTTTTAAAATTAAACAGGCAGAATTTGATGTGTTTTTCTAGAAACCCTGACAATATTATTTTAGTTACTTTTAAGGTTAAGTTAGTCTGGCAGTAAGACTGATAATTTAATCTTTCATTAATTTTGAGTGATACTACTATTGTTTTCTTAAAAATGGTTATATTTTTAATATACTCTATTTCATAAAATTGTATGCAAGTATTTTTATATATTTTTATATAAATAGAATTGTGTGTAGCTTCCTTTGTCTTTTTCAATTTAGAAAAAGAGATTAGATATAAATAACACATGAAATTCCATTTTAAATAAGAAACAGCAAATATAAGAGCATTCTGAAATATTATCCCTTTTAGAATAAAAGTAAATGTTTTGGGAGAAGTTGGAAGGATTTTTAAAATATTGAGAGTACCTCCTTAACTCTTAATTTCTTTCCTTTGACTTGAGGGATTACTTATCTCCTATAGTCTCTGTCCCTCCCATATGGTCAGACAGAGACAGCATGCTTGGGTTCAAAAAAGGACAAGTATAAAAAATGGAAAGAGGGGCACATAACTAAGGCAGTATATCAGCAAATAGCCCAAGCCTGCAAAGATGAAGTGAGGAAAGCTAAGGCTCACAACGAACAAAGGCTTGTGACAAAAGTAAAAAATAATAAAAAAAGCTTCTTCCAATATGTTAAAAACAAGAAAAAAGTCAAGGAAACAATTGGTCCATTGCTGGGAGAAAGTAGCAAGAAGGTGACAAGCAACAGGGAGAAAGCAGAACTACTTAACTCATTTTTTGCATCTGTTTTTACACAAGGGGAAAAACAGTCCAACCTATCAAAAACAGCACCACAAAAAGCAGATTAGGAACACAAGTTAAAATAGGGAAGAAAATGGTAAGTGAACACTTGTCTATGCTAGACGAGTTCAAATCACCGGGATCAGATGGATTACACCCCAAGATTCTGAAGGAACTGATAGATGTGATCTCAGAACCACTGCACTATATCTTTCAAAGATTCTGGAGCACTGGGGAACTGCCAGAGGACTGGAAAAGAGCTGATATGGTTCCCATATTCAAAAAAGGAAAGAGAATAGATCCAGGAAACTACAGACTTATCAGCTTGACCTCAATACCAGGGAAGATTCTGGAAAAGATAAGCAACCAATCAGCAAACATCTAGAAGCAAACAAAGTAATAAACAAAAGCCAACATGGGTTTGTCAAAAACAGATCGTGCTCGACAAATCTTATTGCATTATTTGACAAAGTGACAAAATTAGTGGACCAAATAAATGCTGTCAATATACTGTAATTTACTTGGACTTCAGTAAGGCATTTGACAAAGTAGATTGTAACCTACTACTTGATAAAATAGAAAAAAGTGGGTTAGACAGCATCACCAGATGGATTCGTAACTGGCTGACCAACCACACTCAATGTGTAGTCCTCAATGGAACTACATCTACATGGAGGGAGGTATGCAGTGGGGTACCCCAGGGCTCTGCTTTAGGCCCAGTACTCTTCAACATATTCAGTGATTTGGACAAAGGGATAGATGAAGAACTCATCAGATTTGCGGACGACACCAAGCTAGCAGGAATAACCAACACTCCGGAAGATAGGCTTAAGATACAGAAGGATCTTGACAGACTTTTTTTTTTTTTTAAACAAATTTTATTAATTTTAAAGATAAACAAACCATCATTAACCATTGAATACATAAAACCTCTTTCCATTATAAATTTTACAAGTCGAATAAAACATTATTTTATACAACATAATTCTATTTTACACCATTTCCATATGAACATATAAATATCTGTTAGCAAATTTCTCATTATTTCTCTTTATTCTTATTCAATTTCATTATTATTATTATTTTTTCCTATATTTATCCAATTTATAATTATCATCCTCATTTCTCTCTGACTTGGTTACCGTTATTCTCATCCAACATTCCTCCAAGGTTTTATTAATTCTCACACAGACATAAACACACAAAACACAAAAACATAAAACTTATTTTAAGAAAGTAACTTGGCCCCAGATTACCTCTCTCTATATGGACTTCAATTAAATTCATGCTCATCTTATATACCATTACCTATCTTATTTACCATTCTATATCTTCTATATAGCTTCTCCCCGCTTTTCACTCTTCTTAATTCTATTTTATTTAATTCATTTTAATTTAAATCATTGTGCTTGTATCTTTTGTCCATTCCCAAATTATCCATTTATCTCATTCCCTATAGTAAAAAAAAAAAAAGAATTTCTCCTGGAATCACTAATCAGAGTATGATGCCTTTCTATCGTCCCCCTAAATTAACATTTAAAATAACGCCTAGTACCCAATCTGATTCTGCTTAGTACATTCTACCTACTAACTTTTAAAAAGAAGAAAAATAATAAATCCAAAATGATTAAATACATAATTAAATAATAAATCTAAATATTGAATCTTGTAACATTCCAATTATCTATTTCAAAAACAAATGCTACAGTAATAAGTTTATAATAACATCAACACAATAGTCAATTAAACTCTTTAATTAAACTCAATATTCTAAACATTCCCTTTAATATTTTATTAAATTTTAAAGTCTATCATTACTAAACATTTCAATATTTTAATCTTTTATTAATTCTTATAACATTCTCGTTTTCTATTTCTAATACAAATACTACAATACCATCTTATGTACCTTGCAGAATCTTCTTTTTTAAAGAAGTTATACATTACCCTTTGTCCCTAAAAAAAATTCCTTTTTTCCCATCTTGTTTCAAACCTTTGTGGCTTTTCCCCCCCTTTTCCCTTCCTTTCTTATCCCACCTGACCTTTTTACCCCCCCCCCAACCTCTGCCTTGTTAGCTTCCCCTCTCTGTTGTATTCCTTTTTTCTTTTGCTTTCCAACATTGTGGTGATTTTGCATCTTATTTTTCTCTTTCTTGGGTGTTTTTTTAAGTCTTAAGTCCTTCATTTTTCTTCCTCTCTTTCTCCTTTCTTTCTTAATTAAATTTTTGGATTCATTAAAGATGGCATCTTCTTCTTCTTCTTCCGCTTTCTCCATCTGTTGTTGTGTTTGCTGATAAATAGCAAGCGCCATTTCTAAAAAATGAAAGGCTTCTTTCACAGCGTCCTTGCCTTCTTTCTTTATTTTTCCATATTCCTTTCTAAGTTCATCAACAGGTAAAGCCATTGTGAATCTTTTCTTTTTTTCCTTCTTCTTAAAACAACCAAGATGTTTCAAAAGTTAGAACAGTCCCAAAGTCCCAGAGTCATCAATCAGTCCAAGCAAAGCACAAAGTTCTCACTTCCTGGGGTAATATCAATAAAAAGAAAAGAAAAGCCCAATCTGTATTTTAAAGCCTTGTTGCAATTGATTTCTAGTCTCAAAATCTTCAAGGCATCTCCTCCAACAAGATCTCAATATTTTTTTTTTGTCCTCTGCCTTCCCACTTATCACAAGAAGCCAAATTTTTACCTTCTATAAAAAGACAGGTTTCTCAATATCCATTTGTTGATTCCATAGGGAAGGAGAGTAAACTTTCCTTTCAGCACCTCGAATTTGCCGCTTGAAATTCTCCTCTGGAAACAAAATATCATTCAAAAAGTCATAGCTTTCAGGATGTTAGGTGCGTCTTAAAGTCCTGGGTCAGCCAAGAAAAACTTTCTCTTCACAAACTTTCTCCCTCTTCCTCCTGCACAGTCTTACCCAGCTGTCGTCTTCTTTGTGGCGGCCATTACAGACCGCCGCTCCACCGTCTTGAGAAAAGGGGGATTTGCCGGCTGGGGAGGGGGTCTGCAACCCCTCTCCAGATCCCCCCTGTCTTCGGCTGCCTCTACGGGGCAGCCCCAGCCTCCAAACCCATCCAGATCGGAGGCACCAAGACGGCTAGCACCGCAGGGATCGCGCAGTATCGCGAATCCCTGCCGCTGCCGAAGCCGACAAACCGGAAGTTCAGGATCTTGACAGACTTGAACATTGGGTGCTATCTAAAAAAATGAAATTCAACAGTGAAAAAAGTAAGGTTCTACATTTAGGCAAGGAAAACAAAATTCACAGGTACAGTATATGTGGTACCTTGCTCAATAGTGGTGACTATGAGAGGGATCTTGGAGTCCTAGTAGACAATCACTTAAATATGAGCCAGCAGTGTGCTGCAGCTGCCAAAAAAGCCAACCAGTTCTAGGCTGCATAAACAGGGATAGAATGAAGATCACGTGAAGTGTTAATACCAATTTATAAAGCCTTGGTAAGGCCACACTTGGAATACTACATCCAATTTTGGTCTCCATGATGTAAAAAAGATGTTGAGACTCTAGAACGGGCTTGTCCAACCCGCGGCCCACGGGCCGCATGCGGCCCAGGTTGCCTCATAATGCGGCCCAACGCCCACCCCAACCTTCATGAAAGATCCAGCGAGGAGGAGGAGGAGGAGAGGCAGGCGCGAAGCGGGGCGAGGCGAGCAACAGAAAAGGCGGGCAGCCGCAGCCCAAAAGTCCCGCCCCGCCACCGCTGCTGCATTTGCAGGAGGAGAGGTAGGTGCGAGGCGGGGCGAGGCGAGCAACAAAAAAGGCAGGCAGCCGCAGCCCAAAAGTCCCGCCCCACCACCTCCTGCTGTTGCCGCCGCCGCCGCCACCGCTGCTGCATTTGCAGGAGGAGAGGTAGGCGCGAGGCGGGGCGAGGTGAGCAACAGAAAAGGCGGGCAGCCGCAGCCCAAAAGTCCCGCCCCGCCACCTGCTGTTGCCGCCGCCACCGCTGCTGCTTCTGCCCCCGTCGCCGCTGCTGCTTCTGCCCCCGCCACCGCTGCTGCATTTGCAGGAGGAGAGGTAGGCGTGAGGCGGGCGAGCTTTCTTCCCCCCCTTCCCCCCCACCCCGCAAAATTTGGCTGGAAAATTATAAAATAAAAAATAAATAATTTTTAATTAATAATTAATAATAATTTTATTTTATTTTATTATTTTATTAATTTAATTTAATTTAATTAATTATTTAATTTAATTATGTGCGGCCCAAACCAAATTTTCATCTTCTAATGTGGCCCAGGGAAGGTGAAAGGTTGGACACCCCTGCTCTAGAAAGAATATAGAGAAGGGCAACAAAGATGATTAGGGGACTGGAGGCTAAAACATATAAAATGGTTGCTGGAACTAGATATGTCTAGTCTTTTGAAAAGAAAGATTATGGGTGATATGATAGCAGTGTTTCGATATATCAGAGGCTGCCACAAAGAAGAGACAGTCAAACTATTCTCCAAAGCATCTGGGGGTAGATCAAGAAGCAATGGGTGGAAACTAATCAAGGAGAAAAGCAACTTAGAACTAAGGAGAAATTTCCTGGCAATTAGAACAATTAATCAGTGGAATAACTTGCCTCCAGAAATTGTAAATGCTCCAACACTGGAAGTTTTTAAGCAGAGATTAAAATAACCATTTGTCTGCAGTGGTGTAGGGTTTTCTGCAGGGGTGGGATTCTACCAGTTCACACCTATTCACTAGAACCGTTTGTTAACATTCTAAGCAGTTCGGAGAACCGGTTGTTAGGAGAAATTACTGGCCTAATCCTGTAAGGAAGGCAGGAAGGAAACATTCTGGTGTTGCTTACAGAAACTGCCTCTCCATTAACCCTTATTACATTCTTGGCAGGACTAGACTTCCTGTCTCAGGAATGTCTCTGGAGTTTTTTTCCCCTCCTTTGCTGATACTTTGCTTGTGTGGAGTGACCATTCAAAGTTACAGTGGCACTGAAAAAAGTGACTTATGACCATTTTTCACACTTAACGATTGTTGCAGCATCCCCACAGTCATGAGAGGCCAGGCGAGGAGATGTGTGCCTCGATGTGAGTGATATTGAGTTGGCCACACCCAGCCAAAAACATGACCACCAAGCCATGACCACCTAGTCACATGACCACCAAGCCACGCCCACCACCTAAGCCACGCCCACAGAACCAGTTGTTAAAAATTTGAATCCCACACCTGGTTTCCTGCCTAAGCAGGGGGTTGGACTAAGGTCTCTTCCAATTATGTTATTCTATTCTATTAAACAGCATAGCAGGAAGTGGCCCGTGTCATGGCATCTATCCTCTTCAAACCATCTGAAGTGCATCCTTCAAATCTGGCTTTATCACCATACTTTTTGTGGGAAATTTCAGTTATTTAATCGATGGTTGTGTAGATTTCCTTTTGAATCACATGATCTATTTTGTTATTGTTTTTACTGTTGTAAACTGCCCAGAGTTGATCAGATTGGGTTGGACTTTAATAACTAACTAAGTAACAGGAGAAAGTGTCAAAACAGTTTGCTTTTCAAAATTGTTCACTGTTTACTTGCTTTTCACAAGTTAGCCATGTGTGTTCATGAGCAGCAAATATATTCTTAATGTAAATCACTCACTTTTCAGATTACAGAACAAGATCATTTTATAACAGCATTGCTACAAAACTATGTGCAATTGAATTGAGTCAAAAGAGGAATCAGAAAAATCCACTTTTTTCAGGATTAGAAATGCATGCTTAATAGAGAGGGGATTGAAAAGAAAATGGAAGACTGGTTGGATTAGGGTGGCACTACCTTCTGCTTATTCATTCTGTTAACTCCTGTTTTGAGTCCACATATTAATTCTTGAGAGAACAATTATTGATTCTCTGTGGGCCCAGGGCAGGAAGTGAAAAATTAAGATCTGCTTCCTTTCCAGCAGATGAGTATTGGGCTTTCTCTCTTGGGTGGTTGATTGTCAACACATTTAATAAAAGTATTTAATGTGGTTATACCATTAACTGTGTGTGTTGTTGGCTGTGATACTTACATGATAGTATTGTCTTGTACCCCTAATTGTGCAATATTTTTGTTGACTTCAGGTGGCCAGAGTGTTTTATTATCTTTGTATAATTGCTCTTCAATATGTGGCACCTCTGGTTATGTTGCTGCACATGACTCTTCTGTTAAAAACTTTAGGTAAGAAATATTCAATAAATGAAATAAAATGCTTATGGGTAGTTACTGGAAAAATTATATTAGGAGCAAAAATCATTTACAGAGGGTTCATTTTGAAAGTAGGACATAGGCAGGTGCAAAAAGTTAATTTCTTGGTTATTCATTTCTCTATTTCCATCCCACCAGTCATTAATTTCTGAACTAATATGTGCTATAAGTATCCCTGTGCAACCGGAAACAGAAATGCTGCTGGTTGTAGGGCATATTTCATGTATATATAATTATTATTAAAATTTTGTAAATAGGAGAAAAAAACTAAGACAAACTAATATAAAAATCAAAGAGATAAATTAAAGTGCAAGAAAGGACACACACACACACACACGAATGAATGAATGAATGAATGAATGAATGAATGAATGAATGAATGAATGATGGTACAGGTAGCAGTAGCTTTCAGTCTTCTTTACAGCAGTTATAAGTGCAATCATAAATTTACCTGTTACTCTTTGGTTACCATGTAACTATCTTTTTTCTATAATCTAAATCATAAGTTCATTTTTTTCTGTTTTATGCAAAAAGTCTATAAAGGGGCTCTAATCAATAATAAACACAGATGTTATCTTCTCTCTGGTTAAAGAAATCAATTTAGTGATTTCAGCAAATTCTGTGATCTTCATCAAGCATTTTTCCATTGTGGGTAACAACTGAATCTTTACATATTTGTGCATGGAGTAGTCTTCAAGTCAAATGTTTTCCTTCTTTAGCTATTAATGCTATATTGACCTCTTTCTAATTGACCTTTCTGCAATCTTTCCTCCCTGTATTCATCATATTTTGTGAAAATTGTAAAGATATTTTATCAAAACATAAGAAACTGATAATTCATCTGGTACAGGAACCTTTCCTACTTTAATCTTTTTTATAACTTTAGAAATTTCCCTTATTCTTATAGATGTTTTCAGAATCTATCTCTGTTTCTTTGTAATCCTTGGTAAATTTTGTTTTGTTAGATATTCATCAGTTTTTTTAGAGATATGTCACTTTTTTCATACAAATTGGAATAATATTGATGAAATATTTTTTGAATGCCACATTGTCATCAGTATAGTATCTATAGGAGCCACTGTGGTACAGTGGTTACTGCAGGCTACTTCTGCTGACTGCCAGCTGACTGCAGTTTGGCAGATCAAATCATACCAGGCTGGTTGACTCAGCCTTCCATCCTTCTGAGGTTGGTAAAATGGGGACCCAGATTGTTCGGGGCAATGTGCTGACTCTGTAAACTGCTTAGAGAGGGCTGTAAAAAGCACTGTGAAGCAGTATATAAGTCTTAAGTGTTATTGCTATCTCTCTTTTGTAATTTCAGTATCATTTTCTTCTTGTAATTTATATGCTAGCCACTTCCCTGTTTTACGGTACTTGCAAACTTATTTTTTTTTACATAATTGTTTTTTTATTTCCATTTCCCTTGCTATTAACATAGATAATTTTTGTAAAAGCTTAATTTGTTGAGAAATGCCTATCTTTTCTGGAAATTTCTTTAATTCTTCTTCTTTCCAAATATTTCCAAATGAATATTTCATCTTTTTTTCAAAAAACATGAAGCATGAATTAATATCAAAAAAGTTGCACCAAGTGTCTTAGGATTCAAATGGTTGTCTCTATCTTTATTAAAAATGTTGTTTGCATTTTCTAATAAGCATGCAGTTTTGTTCTTAGAAGCATGTGATTAAAATGATTTAAAATGTTAATTATTTTTCTGTAGGTAACTATTCATGGGGCATTTATCCAGAATTAACCTCAGATTTACCCCCAGAGGACAGTACACAGAGCAGTTCAGTAAGCTCTGAATCATCATCTGATGATAGAAAGATGAAGGTAACCGTAATACAGCTTACAATGGCTCTGGATAGCCTGAAGAACATTTTCACTCCACTGTTGTTCAGAGGACTCCTTTCATTTCTCACTTGGTGGATTGCTGCTTGTCTTTTTTCCACAAGCCTTTTTGGGCTGTTCTACCATCAATACTTGACAGTAGCATGATTTTAGAAAGCAACCATTCAAAGAAGCCTGTGTTCCCCAACAGAGCAGGAGAATATGGGAAGAAATAACATAATAAAGTTTCATTCCTTTAATACCTCTTTATGATCACAAGCAATGTAGTGTATAATATCAAAAAAACCATGACTTCATAATACCGTTACTTTGAAATTTGTTTAAGTATCTTTTGTTTTCATGAGTTCCATCCTGCCCTGGGAGCATGATGTATTCAGTCATTGATTGACTGGTCTTAATGGTGTTAAGATAAAAAGATAATATTAATGGTGACTGCTTAAAGGTCATATAAGGAGTCAGAAACTTGGATGACTTTTCTTTTGAAAAGCAAACTAATTCCACAGGACAAAAGAAATACTGTATATTACAGTAAAGGAAACATTCTGAATAGAGTTTTTGTAAGTGCATGGAATACAGAAGAATTATTCTGCAGGAAGTGTTTTCATATTAGTACTGCATCACTTGTGTGAAAGTTCAGGAAAGTAAGTTTCTCAGATGTTACAGCATGTGCCTCTGAGCACCCATTTATTTAAAATGAATGTTTAGTGTATATAATCTGCAAGTAGTAAGCTCATGAATTGTTTGAATGCTTACTACACGTACTTTACTTCTGCACATTCACATATTAAATTATGTGAAGTGGTATAATATGCTCATGCATCTCATTATACCACATAATGTAATGTGTCAAGAAGTTTTAAAAGTTCATGTTATAAGAGTAATATAACTACATTGTTTTGGTCTCATCGATCATTTTAAAAATAATAAATGGCCATATGAATCATTGAATGTTTAGTATTGGTGCTAATAATTAACTAGAAATGTATTTAGCTTTTATGGTTCCATAATTTAACAAATACCATTATTATAGCACTGGTCGATGATGTTTGACACTAATCAATACTAAACTAATTTTAACAAGTATAATTCAATAAACACTATTTGAAAACATCAGCAGTGAAATGTATACTGCTGGATGAGCAAATTTTATTAATTATAACAAAATTATAATGGTAAGGACTATCCCAGCACAAATAGTTTTAAGCTTTGTAATAATAATTGATTAAACCTGTATGCTACCTGACTCTGGTGGCTGACAACAATAAAAGAAATTGCAATAAAATAAATAAAAAATAAAGATAAAAGATGGCAAACATGATAAAGTGAAAGCTCTCCCTTACCAAAGGTCTGGGTAGAAGACCTAGATCTTCACAGTTCCAAACAACAACATAGAATGGGGCTATATAGGTCTGTGGGGTGGACTATTCTAGAGAGTTGACCTGACTACATAGGAATATACTTCAGGGATTCTGAAATATGAAATTATTTAATTAAAGGAACTTCATCAAATTTCCTGGGCAGTTGTTATGAGAGACAGGTGATCCCTTAAGTAATCAGGTCCTATGCTAAAGGTGACAGCCAGCATCTTGAATTGCACTCAAAACCAAACCAATAATGGCTGCAGCTCATGAAGCAGATGTGTTCCATGGGCATACCAATGCATGTCAGTTGCTAGTTATGACACTGTTAATACTTACATCTACATACTCCCATATTTTTGAAGCTCTACATAGAGCCACTGGGTGAAGTCATCAATTAGTTTAGGGCTTTATATCATCAATGTCACACAATCATTTCTTTTGATCAGGTAGCCAATGAACCACAATATTTTATGAAGTAAAAAGTTATAATTTCATTTATATAAGTTTTCTTTACAGTAAATTCCTTTTGTGGGATAACTATCCTTCCATCTGACTATTATAATCATAATATAAATGCATAGATTAGCCATCTTTAAAAAAACATTTAAGACCATATTCTCTCAGCAGAAATGACTGGGTATATATACTAGTGATAGATGGGCAAGACAGTTCCAAATATTTGTCCAAATGGTGAATCATGACCTATAATTTCTTGATATAAAGTGAGTCACAACCATAGTCCTTTTGTTATTTCCTACAACCTTAGGTTGAAGTATATCCTCTCAAAAATTAAAATTAGGTCACATTATCTGAATGGATACAAAGAGTAGTGCATGTCTGAAAAAGTAAAGAAATATACTGATAGCTACAAAAATCAAAATATTGAATGGAACTCTATCCAACTGCTCAACATTAAAAGTACTTATACAAAGTATTCAAGCTGACTCCTTGCCAATATTATATACCTCACATTTTATAAGTTTTGCTTCCAATCTAATACAGCTGCAAATTTGAGTATGATTTCAAAATTAATTTTAAAAGTCCTAATTTGTGCCCAATCAGACTAATATATTATCAATACTGATGGTTAGGTTTAAGCATTGTCAAACAGGCTTATTTTCCTGTTGCTCTTTATATGAGGAAAACTACATATACACTTGAGGTTGATTGCCAGCTTTGCATACACCATTTAACACTCCAGATTTTTAGAGTGCTCAGAAATGTAGCATATAATTTAAAAAAAAATTGCCAGAATACAAATTTTAAATGTTGAAATTTGTGCTCCTTTCCCAAACATTACAGTTTTTTTTTAACCAAAATTAAATGCAGTTCAATTTATTGATAGTAGATTGAACTGTGGATGGATTTCATGGAATTCTGAAGGATACATTTTTTAAAAAAAATTGAATCTTCAGACATGCCTGTACGCATTGGGACTTTCCTGTATCTCTTCCCAATCAATGTTTCTTCTACCTTTTCCTAAAATTTGATATTGTAAATTGGTATATTCAAATGGTAAAGAACTGCAGCAAGAGGGAGAAAGTAGTAGAAATAATGAATATATAATTTTGTAAATGCTTTTGCTATTCAACAGTTTTCTTTCCCAATTATTTTTAGCTTGATATGACAGTATTTTGTGACATTTCTGCACATAACTGATTATTCTTCTGTAAGAGACAAAACATTGATATTTCAATTGTAATTTGATTTGGTACTTTGAGATTCCCCCCCCCCTTAAGTTTGTTTGTATTCTTTTGTTGATTTCTTAATTATCAAATTGCTTTTGTACAGGAATTTTCTAAATTATTTGGTGGAAAAGGCATACATAGCTTCATCTATTAAAATGAATATCAAGACTTTCTTCTGAAAGAAGAATAAATACATGAGCTAGAAACATAAGACATGGGAAAATGGCAAATGAATGAAAGTTTAATGTTGAACAAAGCCTTGTGGAAAATGGGTTGTAACCAGCGACTGAAATCCTGTATTACCTGCACAAATGGATTAAATTATGTGGGAACAAGAAAGAAAAATATAATCCATACTGATACTTAAGTATTCATGGAACATTGGATTGCCACATATAATACTTGTGCAAATTTTATTTTTAAAATATTGGTTAATTGCAACCAATGTTTTAATGAAATTAGGTTGTAACTCCTTTGGTATCTATCAACAGCAAATACAGCTGTTTCCTAAATTTGAAATAAAATTGTTTGTTACAACATTTTTCATAATTATTTTTTTGTAAAATCACATTTGAGTAAATTCACAATGCCTTAAAGTACTGAAATGTTTCTGAAGAATTATACCATCCTTTGGTGGAGAATCTTGATGACTCTTACATGGGAACATTGCAGCAACAATTGCTTTCCAGTTTGAATACCTTGTTTTAATCTTATCTTAGTGTAAGAATATATATGGCATTTGAATATGTTAAATATTTTATGAAAATATTTTCCATGTCTGTGATTTATGATAAAAATGCCTCTTGACTAAATATGGGTCAAACACTCAGTTGGGTTTTAGAAAAGCTAGTTACGGCTGATAAGAAATATTTTTGTGCTAAGTATTGAGAAATAATTTTATACAATATATTCATAAGGATGAACAATCTTGTTCTGTGAATCTTTTCAATTCTGTGTTAACATTCTACAGAATCATGTCATTCTCCAGTTGATATTTTTCTACTTTTTAAATATTCTACCACACTGATAAGATATTGGTATAAATTATTTGTTTAAATAGATAGATTGAAAGTATCTTTTAAAATGAGATGAAATAAGAGAATTTTGAAATCAGAAGAAATAATCCTGTATATTGATCATTCTATTAAGAATAGTGTTAAGCTATTTAATTGAGACAAATTTCAGAACCCCCCACCCCACCCCCGCCCCTGAAATTACCAAATAACTTTAAATGGAGAAAGATAGACTCCCAATCTACCTCATACGGTTGTGGCTATAAAATAAAAGGAGACCCCTCTCTTCTCCCATTACATTGCTTTGAAGGGAGGCTCCGTCTCTCCCTGTTACATTGCTTTGAATTCCTTAAAAAAAAGCCAGATACACACATAATCATCTGTTGATTATGGGCCCTCAAGTCAGTGTCAGCTCTTAGTCATCATGTAAATAGATTTTCTTGGGTGCATGCATTAAATACAATCAATAAAGCGGTATCACTTAGATATGACAAACATCACCAATCAAAAGATTATAGCTAAAGTTGGATTTTGAAGAAGCATTATAAAAGCATTTAAGCTTTTCAATTTTGATGTTGGAGAAGACTCCTGAGAAAACCATGGACAGTAAGAAAAAAAAAACAAATGGATCATCAAACAAAGCAACTCTTCTTACTCCAGGTACAGCTGAGCTAGCTGAAAATTATCCTTTGGACACATAATGTAGTTTTTTAGAGAAAGTTCTAGTGCTGGGAAAGAGAAGAAGAGGATAACTAGCAGCAAGGTGGGTAAACAAAGTTACAGTGGCATTGAGTGCACCATTGAAAGATCTGAAAGACCAGGTTAGGGACAGATCATCATGGAGAAGGTCTGTATGTCACTAAGAGTTGGCATCAACTTGATGGTACATAATCAGTAGCTATTGGTGTAGATATCTGCTGAAAGGGAATTTAACAGGAATATGTTGCCAATTTTTTTTTATTCAAGATGATATTGGATAGATAAATCTAGTAGAATAGTAACTTTTAAATAAAACACATTGCACAATGTAATATATTGTCTATTTCTACTATCTGAGATAGTCTAGATTCCTTTGTGTATTTGTGAGAAAAGTGATTAAGATGAATTTAACAGGTTAATTTAAGCATTTTTATTTCTTCATATTGTTTCAAGTAAATTTATAGGATATTAAGTTCTATGGCAGGATCATCTCAAGATTTTCACTGTAAAGTAAAATTACTTGTTGAGAAAGGTGATATGATTTTCCACATATTTATGTACATCTTGAACATTTATCTTTGGTCACTGGTTTGAATAAGATAAATCAGAACTGAGCTTTTTTGGGAGATTAGTCTGAAAGCTATTATTTCACCCCAATGCAGTTCTGGCCAACATTTTGGAAATATGTTTGTGTAGTAATATTATTTCAGTACCCGTACTTATGCCATAAAATGCATAAGAAATATATTGTATCACAAATACACATTTGACTCATTTTCTGCATAAAAAGCTCATGTGGGACAACCCAGTATAGAGGGTTAATCTTGAAGAAGGTATGTGGCAATAGTTAAGATAAAATAGGCAATTCAGTTCTGGAAAAGTAAAAGGTTAAAAGTAAAAGTAAAAGAAAGAATCTCAAAATCACCCTGCTTTGATGTTCATTGTTGTAGGGTATAACAACAATAAAATAGCATTCCTATAATATTTTATTGTCTCTTTGCTCACTTGGAGTATCACAAAAGGTGAACATCCAAGCTGTAGTAAGCCATTATTTTTTAGTAGGTCCATTATCACATTATCATCACTTTGGAACAACTTAGTTCTACAAAACAGATGGTAGAATTTTAAGCCACATTTACACAAGACTACTTCTTCACTGTTTAACTCAGCTTTAGCTCTTGTTATTTGAGTTCTTTGAACATTATTCTATTGCTGTTTCTGAAGTTTTTCAAAGCTAATACAGATTTTGCAGCATTAATTAACAACGCTAAACCCACAATCACTGCTGATTAAAAAAAATTGAAGGAAACTTATTAAATTAATATTAGCTGTTCCTGTTAGACTTGATCTCAGCCAAAAGGCTAAGAAACTGTTTTTACATTCTTTGATTTCAGGAGTATGTTTGTCTAAACCAATAAGTTGCTTTAAAGAATGTGAAATTTATTTTTATCTTAAAATGGGATTTTTATAATAGAAAAGTTTATTTCCTGTTTATTTGACACAGAATGTTTAATGAGTTGATTGTAATCAACTTTTTTTTTTTTTTTGAGATGCACTTGCAATGTTTGAGCACTAATTTGCATGGTTCGGACTTGTCTGTATATTGTGGGCTGAAATACGCATAACTGTTAACAAGATTTGAAGCCAATTGTTATAGATAAGGATACATATGTTTTGTCTTACTACACCTTTAATATTTATAGCGCATCAAGAATTGCAGACTTTTTTCACATGGGGGATGCAGAAGTATTTCCTTTACAACAAAGGAAAACTACTACTATTTTACAATAGACTACTGATGTATGTGGTCTTTACATTCGAATTACAGAGTACATGTTTGTTCCTAATAAGTGAGCATCACAAAGGGCTTTCTTGCTTTCTCTTTTTTTAAAGCAATCTAGTCAAATGCCTTGGAGATGCTTATCTATGTGATAATTTTCCATTTTCCCCTTTTTTCTGTATTCTTAAAAAAACACTGTTATTTTATTATGTCATGTATGCAATTTTTTCTTGCTAATGGGTTTGATGTGATAAAAATAAACTATAAAAAAGAATTAAGTGGGCTGTCTTTTCACTATTTATTAAACAGCTAGTCTAGATGATAGTACCTAACTGTCCTTGGCTAATACTGAAAATCAAAGCAGAATTGAATCGGTTATACTTAGATGGGAGACACCAGGAAACCTTGATCTGTAAGGTAGACTGAAAAGGACATTTGACATTACTATAGTATGATCTTATTTTTTTATTCATATTAGCACTCTGTGTGTACAATATAATATCTAAAAAATACATCACAGATTAGCATAGACTGAGCAAACAATCTACTTAAAAAACAGAAATTGCTTTAAATTAGATGATTATTTCAACTGCAATTTTAAATCTTAGTGTGTATAAAGGCTATTTCCGTCTGCAGAAATCTTTGTATTCGGTGGATTATTTCTGGTGGTTGAATGTAGTGGAGATTTTGTTGATTTTCCCTTTCCTATGCATTGCACTGTCTTACTCCGCAGCTTTGGAAAATTTATGGACTATACAGCAGTAGTGGAGGTGGATGATGAGAATTGTAATAAATGTGGGAGAAGTTGAATGATTTTTCCATTTTTGACATTAAAAGCACTACAGACAACTCTATTCAGACTGTTTCTGCTGGTGGAATCAAATCCTAGAAATAGATGTAGCTACTGAAATCAGGTATTCCTATTCTAATGTTTCTGTGAAGTACAGCTCAGCTCCTGGTGGTTTCATGGACACAATCTATATAGTTTTAAAACAGCAGCATAGAAATGATTTGCCATTGGCACTTTCTGGAGACACCTATTTTTATTTCACAGTCTAGCCTACAATCCTGTCATTTCCTAAAGTTCTCTCATCCAAATACAGTCCAGAACCAAAATTAGCCAAGGACAGTTTTAAAATATTAAGCGGTTATCTATGTCAACTTTTTCATTTTCAATCTAGGATCTCAAAAATCTATATTGTACTGTTTTGAGATAATTCCAGTAAAAGTGAGCCATTAAAAAACCAAGCACCTCCTCATGAATGAGCCAGTTTATAAACTTTTATATAGTCCTTGTTCATTCAATTGAGACTAAATGAAGAAAGCATTCAAACAATGTTGCTTTTTTGGGTAATGAATGTTGGGGGTAAACTTGGCTCTTGGCTCATTACTTGCCGCAATGTATGTAATACTCATTTTACATAATCAGTGGCAAATATTCAGACACAAAGTAGGCGATATATTGAAATCAATAACAATAAAAATGGGAGATAAAATATTTCTTCTGTTTATATTTTTATGATATTTATGAAGTAACTCTATTGCTGTGTGTTATACCAGGAAGAAAAACTATATATTAATCTACAGTATATTTTTGCATGACAGGCAGCACTTTACCAATAATAATGGGAAGGGTAAAAGGTAGTTGTAGTAGCACTTATAAGCCTTTCTACTCTGCAAGTGTTACAGAAATTACATAACCGTCATTATATAATACCAGTGTAGTAAACACTGTTCCATGAGAATTCAATGACGTATTCTAGAAGAAACTAGATTCTTCAATCTTTACTAACATTGGTTATTGGTAAGGCACCAGACATAATGGATGTATATAACTTTTTATACCTGCTGTGTACAGAAGCAATTGTATATAAGATACTTGTGCAAAAAAGACTCCTGTTGTTGCAAAGCCATATCAATTGTGTTATTTTTTTGCTAAGCAATAGAAGATACTTCATGCTGTTATCTTGTGTGTTCTGTAAGTTGGTTCTTAGCTGAAGTTTATATAATAGAAAACATGAAAGCAATTTAAACAAACACCAAAATGTTCTTGTGTAAATTTATACTTTCAGATTGCAAGTATTTACCTATTGTGCATTTCTGGCTAGAGACTAGTTATTTAGATAATTCTACATGGTGCATGTATTTGTAGATTACATACTGTTTAAAAAACACTGTTAATTTCTTTTTTGAAGTATTTCTAAAAAACGATATCAAAAGCTACCTGGCCTGTCAATAAAAATCAAATTATTTCCTTAAATTATGCAGTTTCTTTTCATGACAAGTTTATTCCAAATAATTTTCTGCCAGATAATCCGAACATTAAGTACAATTTATCTTATTGGGTTTTGTATGGTAATTAGTGCTGGAGTTAAATTAAGAGTCAAATGTCAGCTGGTGATAGTAGAAGACGAAAGGCTAAATATAATGACAAATACGTTTGGAAAGTAGTATCCTAAAAAAAAGTTACACAGAGCGAATGTAACTTTGCATCTATTAACTTTGTGAAGTCACTATCATAACCAAATTAAGTTTTCTTTTAGAAAAAGAAGATTCCTATCAAAGGGTCCAAGAAGTAATAAACAAGGTGTACATATCTGACCTCCTGAATTTTGTTTTAATTTTGTTAAACATGTTTTATGAATAATGTATTAACACTTGTAACCTGAAAGTTCTACATGAGTGACTTATTTCCATTGAAAGCTCTCTGTAGTTTTAATATACTTATATTCAATTGTGGAAGAGCAGTTATTTTACTAAGGCTAAAGCTGTTTTTACAATTGCATAAAAGTTGTATAAAGAAGCTGGCAATCAGCAATGAGAAACCACAATTTTGAATTTTTAGCATGTCATGGAAATTGTTATATTGGAATGGATTGGCTTAAGATGGACAGTTCCTGACTGCAAAAACAAACTCTTTGTTTCTTCTGCAAAGGCATCAGGAAAGGCAATGTTTTGTTGGGGAAAAGAGAAATAGAATAACAATAAGAGCATTCCATTAACATTGGTACTATTTGTCTACTATTTCATTTTATGTTAAAATTCTCAATGTTTGGCAGGCTGTTAACATCTTGAGGTGTTTGGCCATTTGTATGTGGTACCTTTGGGGACATAGGCCTATGTGAACAGCATATTTGATTTAGATTGGAAATTTGGAAATTATGTCAGACATAATTCAACATAACTTTGTGATTAAAGGTCCGATGGCAACTTAGCTGAATTTGAACCATTTAAAGATTCAATTAAAAAATAAATTATAATGGGGAACATTCAAAACAATGAAGGTGCTTCACTGACAAAATGAAGAATAGAGCAAGAGTGGTAAAGGTGATTTACCCGGTCAATTTGGATGTCTTTCCTGCAATAGAAAAGGCTGTAGAAAAGTTGGCTGAACCAATGAAAACATACTTTACACCAATTTAAAAACAAAACTTTCAAAAACTTTTGCAAACAGTTAACCTTTTTCTTACTTTTCTAGTGCTCAGCTTGGCATGCAATGCACAATGAAGATTTCCATGTTGTAAAGGGGTTTTTGCCATCTATTGCCTCTGATCACTGGGGTCCATCTCTACGTCTCAAACGATCAGCACCTTTTTGCCGTATAGTGTAAAAGAAATGCACACTTGTGTTCAAGAAGCATTACAAAGGCAATGACAGGATGTGATATGTTGCCATTATGTTGTCTTATTAACATCTCCTGAGGCAAATGTATACTTTCCTTAGCCTGTACAGCTACTTTGTAAACCCAGGAAAAGGTGTTTCTTCTTTAAAGAGAAGGCACCTGTACTTGTCCATTTTTGATATTGTACACCTCTAGTATAGGGGGTCAGAATCATACCTGTCCATCAACATCACTGAATTTGATTTGGGGGGAAAGGTGGCAAAAGAAAGATGAAGTTTGAAAAATGGCCCATATCTAGCTAGGAACTATAATATGTACAAAAGTACATATAAGGTAGTTGGGTGGCAGCTTGGGAGATTGGGGGGAGGGGGGCTGGATAGTTACTAGCCCTTTTGAAACTTTCTCCATCTCTCATTTTTACTTTACCCACAGCAAAGCTATTATTAAGTAATGGGGGGAAATTTAAAAAAAACACCGTTTGTTTTCCCTGGCTCCCCCTAATTCAAAATGCTGGAAACATGCAAATACTGATTTCCAATAGCATTTTCAGAAGAGGTTAGGATTAATTTTGATTATTTCCCTGTAATCACCTGTGAGTATGAAGGTGGGGAATCCTTCACCTGCTATTCACATCTGAAATTAACTTTTCCTAATTGCTGGTAACATTTGCACGTAGTGTCCCAAAAATATTAAGAACGGACTCTCCTTTAGCATTCAGCCTGCCCGGAAGGTAGATTTGTTACTCCTTTAGATCAAATGCTAATCCCTCTACTGTACTACTCTTCTTTGATATTGAGGGGAAAAAAGATTTATACATGTACATTCTCTGCAGTGGTGGGATTCATATTTTTTTTACTACCGGTTCGGTGGGCGTGGCTTGGTGGGCGTGGCAGGGGAAAGGATACTGTAAAATCTCCAGTCAGAGGTGGTATTTGCCAGTTCTCCAAACTACTCAAAATTTCTGCTACCGGTTCTCCAGAACTGGTGAGAACCTGCTGAATACCACCTCTGATTCTCTGTATTATGGAATGGTTCAAATGGGGATGAAGTAAGAGCTATCTTACCCTTTGCAACAGATAACAATAGACTTTATCTGGTAGGAGAGATTAGAGTAATGTGTTCTTGGAACACAATAGCAGTAAGATTTCTAGATCATTTTCTGGGACAGCCTTTCTCAATTTAGTGCCTTCCAGTTATTTTTAGAAATTCTGGGACTAGTAGGAATGGTATTGTCCCACTGTAAATAATGTCTTGCTTTTTTATTTGAATGTATCCAATGAGTTTTGCAAAAGAAATCCAAAGTAGGTTAAAAAATAAAATTGAAAGAATAATAATAACAGTAACAAGCATAAATTTAACAGAATTTTAAAAGATGGAATAAAACATCATTGATTAACCAGAGTTGAGAGGGAAGATAATTCATTGAGGATAAAAGTCAGCAGCATGACATCAAGCAGGTTTCAAGAGGTGGGCATTACCTCTACACTGACCAACTATCATGCTTCATAGAATAGGGGCACTGCCTTTGCCTGCTCACTGAACACACAGGGAAGAACATGGACCAGCACAGCAGTTAATTGAGAGAGACGATATTCCTGCATAATGAGACTGTGCCCTGGAGCTGTTAAGGAAAATCCAGGCAATGCTGCTTAACTTAGTCATTCCATCTATTACTGATGCCTAAAGCTAACTGCAGTTGAGACCATTGTATATTTTGTACCAACTATTTATAGGATCCTGTGGATTTTCTCTTACTGCCAAATACATGAGATCCCAAAGGGGTTATTAAAACAGGTAAATATATTGCAACTTGTATGCCAAGGCAGAACTATGGAAATGTTGCCTCCTAACAAAAGAAAAGTTTTGAATAGATTTAATAATCAGGAAAGGGAAGCTTCAATTGCAATATTTCCAAATTTAAGCAACAGGTTTAATGTATATTTGATGCCGTAAATATAATATCTATTGCAATTCCATTGCAAAAAATGTTGAATAAATTAAGTATATTTAAGCATGCATTAATGCTTGATGAAGATGTTCCCTAGAGATTTGAATTTCTGCGCATATACCTTCAAGTTCTCCACTTAGTCTGCAGCTACCTCACCTTGTTTCTTTGTGCTAGGCTAACCTGCTTCATCTGATCCTTTTCTCTTGCAATCATAGAAAGCATTGAAGGAAAAGGAGAACCTTTCCTTAACTGTTGTCACTGGAAACATCTTCTCTATGAACCGGTCTTATGGACCACCATTATGGTAACCATGATCAGTCTGTGCAAAAATTTGTACCACAGGAAAGGAAAACCAAGCCTAATTATAAAAAGACACAAAAATGAAATCTTAAGGGCTTTCTTAATTGTCTTACCTTTTAATTACACAAATCAATAATATCCAATAATGTCAGATTAAGATTTGAGGATTGGTTTAATTCTAGAAATTCATTTTGAAGAAATCTGAAGTTAAGATCAGCCAGCATTATTAGCTGGCTGGATCCATTCTGTATAGATAAAGACTAAACTGTTAGGTCTATTTTTTGTTCTCCATCTGTTCTTTGAAAGATCATTACAGATACTGATGAAATTATGCATAGCTTTGGGGAAAAATTAAGCAGTGCCTTTCCTTCTCTTACTAGCATGGGGAGATATTCAATGAAATTAAGCATCAAAGTAGATAAAACAATTTATCCTGATGGAACAACATTGAATTAATAATTTACATGTGTCTATAGCCAATGATTTAAGTTACTTTAAACAGGTATTGGAAAAATCTATAGAGTTTGAAACATAGCTTCAAGGTATGTGCAGCTTACACATTAAGAATTAAAAGAACTCTACTGTTGTTAATAAATCTTAACTAATTTAAAAATTATCTATAGATGGTACCATCCCCCTATAAAATTGTAATATACTAATGAAGGTCCTGGTTTGTAATGATTTTAAATTCAATGATAGATATTTTGATCAACTGATATGTGCCATCAAGTTGATCTGGATTTTTAGTGACTACAGATAGATTTTTTTCCTTGACCTAACCTGGTCTTTCAATGGTTGGTAGATATTACCATATTTGATAACTTGAGCTCAAAACTTGAACTTACCTCTGGTAACTATGATAATTTTGATTGTTAGTCAACTAAATACATTCAATTTGACATAAGATTTTGAGAAGCTAACAATCTTCATCAATTAAATAAAAGGAATCCTTGTAGTCCATTTTCTCCATATTTTATAAAATGCTATAGTGTAAGAAATTACTGCCTTCAAGATTTACTATAGCAAAACACTGCAAAGCTAAAGCACAGCTTTGAGTCAACATGTAGTAAAATATATTGGCTGAAAAATGTAAAATAAAGGGAAGTAAAAAGTATTATTTTAAGCTTATTTTTCTGTTAAT